GGAGGGAGGGAGGGGGGGAGAGAGAGGAGAGGGAGAGAGGGGAGAGAGAGGGAGGGAGAGAGACTGACCACAGACGCTGATGAGAGAGGGGGAGGGGGGAGGGAGGGAGGGAGTGGGGAGAGAGAGAGGGAGAGAGGGAGAGAGAGGGAGGGAGAGGGAGGGAGAGAGACTGACCACAGACGCTGATGAGAGAGGGGGGGAGGGGGGAGGGAGGGAGGGAGGGAGAGAGAGAGACTGACCACAGACGCTGATGAGAGAGGGGGAGGGGGGGAGGGGGAGAGAGAGAGGGAGGGAGAGAGAGAGACTGACCACAGACGCTGATGAGAGAGGGGGGGAGGGGGGGAGGGAGGGAGGGAGGGGGGAGAGAGAGAGGGAGAGAGGGAGAGAGAGGGAGGGAGAGAGACTGGCCACAGACGCTGATGAGAGAGGGGGGGAGGGGGGAGGGAGGGAGGGAGGGGGGAGAGAGAGAGGGAGAGAGGGAGAGAGAGGGAGGGAGAGAGACTGACCACAGACGCTGATGAGAGAGGGGGGGAGGGGGGAGGGAGGGAGGGAGTGGGGGAGAGAGAGAGGGAGGGAGAGAGACTGACCACAGACGCTGATGAGAGAGGGGGGGAGGGGGGAGGGAGGGAGGGAGGGAGGGAGGGGGGAGAGAGAGAGGGAGAGAGGGGAGAGAGGGAGAGAGAGGGAGGGAGAGAGACTGACCACAGACGCTGATGAGAGAGGAGGGGAGGGGGGAGGGAGGGAGGGAGGGGGAGAGAGAGAGGGAGGGAGAGAGACTGACCACAGACGCTGATGAGAGAGGGGGGGAGGGGGGAGGGAGGGAGGGAGGGGGGAGAGAGAGAGGGAGAGAGGGAGAGAGAGGGAGAGAGAGGGAGGGAGAGAGACTGACCACAGACGCTGATGAGAGAGGGGGGGAGGGGGAGGGAGGGAGGGAGTGGGGAGAGAGAGAGGGAGAGAGGGAGAGAGAGGGAGAGAGAGGGAGGGAGAGAGACTGGCCACAGACGCTGATGAGAGAGGGGGGGAGGGGGGAGGGAGGGAGAGAGAGGGAGGGAGAGAGAGAGACTGACCACAGACGCTGATGAGAGAGGGGGAGGGGGGAGGGGGAGAGAGAGGGAGGGAGAGAGAGAGACTGACCACAGACGCTGATGAGAGAGGGGGAGGGGGGGAGGGGGAGAGAGAGGGGAGGGAGAGAGAGAGACTGACCACAGACGCTGATGAGAGAGGGGGAGGGGGGAGGGGGAGAGAGAGAGGGAGGGAGAGAGAGAGACTGACCACAGACGCTGATGAGAGAGGGGGGGAGGGGGGAGGGAGGGAGGGAGGGGGGAGAGAGAGAGGGAGAGAGGGAGAGAGAGGGAGAGAGAGGGAGGGAGAGAGACTGACCACAGACGCTGATGAGAGAGGGGGGGAGGGGGGAGGGAGGGAGGGAGGGGGGGGAGAGAGAGGGGGAGAGAGGGAGAGAGAGGGAGAGAGAGGGAGGGAGAGAGACTGGCCACAGACGCTGATGAGAGAGGGGGGGAGGGGGGAGGGGGGAGGGGGAGAGAGAGGGAGGGAGAGAGACTGGCCACAGACGCTGATGAGAGAGGGGGGGAGGGGGGAGGGAGGGATAGAGAGAGGGAGGGAGAGAGAGAGACTGACCACAGACGCTGATGAGAGAGGGGGAGGGGGGAGGGGGAGAGAGAGGGAGGGAGAGAGAGAGACTGACCACAGACGCTGGCTGAGTGGATAGCACTCTCGCCTCTCAGCAAGAAGGTCCTGGGTTCGAATCCCGGTCGGACCAGGGCCTTTCTGAGTGGAGTTTGCATGTTCTCCCTGTGTCTGCGTAGGTTTCCTCCGGGTGCTCCGGTTTCCCCTACCTCTAAAAATATGTACAATAGGTCTGGCATGTGCCTCCTGTACTGGCCCCGCTCCCAAAAATAACAATTGTAAACTGCTTTGAGACTCCGATGTGCAGTGAAAAGGCTGTATATAAATAAAGATCACGATCACAAAGATCACAAGGGTTGTCTAATATTTGTTCACATTTTTTTATTCAATTATTTTGTTCATCCTTTTTTATTTTAGAATTATATTCGAATTTTGAAGTCGAAGTCCTGGTGTTAAGCAGCGCTGTAGAGACTAGAGGACACAGGCTGTAGAGACTAGAGGACACAGGCTGTAGAGACTAGAGGACACAGGCTGTAGAGACTAGAGGACACAGGCTGTAGAGACTAGAGGACACAGGCTGTAGAGACTAGAGGACACAGGCTGTAGAGACTAGAGGACACAGGCTGTAGAGACTAGAGGACACAGGCTGTAGAGACTAGAGGACACAGGCTGTAGAGACTAGAGGACACAGGCTGTAGAGACTAGAGGACACAGGCTGTACACAGGCTGTAGAGAGGACACAGGCTGTAGAGAGAGGACACAGGCTGTAGAGCTGTAGAGACTAGAGGACACAGGCTGTAGAGACTAGAGGACACAGGCACTAGAGGACACAGGCTGTAGAGACTAGAGGACACAGGCTGTAGAGACTAGAGGACACAGGCTGTAGAGGACACAGGCTGTAGAGAGAGGACACAGGCTGTAGAGACTAGAGACTAGAGGACACAGGCTGTAGAGGCTAGAGACACAGGCTAGAGACTAGAGGACACAGGCTGTAGAGACTAGAGGACACAGGCTGTAGAGACTAGAGGACACAGGCTGTAGAGACTAGAGGACACAGGCTGTAGAGACTAGAGGACACAGACTGTAGAGACTAGAGGACACAGGCTGTAGAGACTAGAGGACACAGACTGTAGAGACTAGAGGACACAGGCTGTAGAGGACTAGAGGACACAGGCTGTAGAGACTAGAGGACACAGGCTGTAGAGACTAGAGGACACAGGCTGTAGAGACTAGAGGACACAGGCTGTAGAGACTAGAGGACACAGGCTGTAGAGACTAGAGGACACAGGCTGTAGAGACTAGAGGACGCAGGCTGTAGAGACTAGAGGACGCAGGCTGTAGAGACTAGAGGACACAGGCTGTAGAGACTAGAGGACACAGGCTGTAGAGACTAGAGGACACAGGCTGTAGAGACTAGAGGACACAGGCTGTAGAGACTAGAGGACACAGGCTGTAGACACTAGAGGACACAGGCTGTAGAGACTAGAGGACACAGGCTGTAGAGACTAGAGGACACAGGCTGTAGAGGCTAGAGGACACAGGCTGTAGAGGACTAGAGGACACAGGCTGTAGAGACTAGAGGACACAGGCTGTAGAGACTAGAGGACACAGGCTGTAGAGACTAGAGGACACAGGCTGTAGAGACTAGAGGACACAGGCTGTAGAGACTAGAGGACACAGGCTGTAGAGACTAGAGGACACAGGCTGTAGAGACTAGAGGACACAGGCTGTAGAGACTAGAGGACACAGGCTGTAGAGACTAGAGGACACAGGCTGTAGAGACTAGAGGACACAGACTGTAGAGACTAGAGGACACAGGCTGTAGAGACTAGAGGACACAGACTGTAGAGGCTAGAGGACACAGGCTGTAGAGGACTAGAGGACACAGGCTGTAGAGGCTAGAGGACACAGGCTGTAGAGACTAGAGGACACAGGCTGTAGAGACTAGAGGACACAGGCTGTAGAGACTAGAGGACACAGGCTGTAGAGACTAGAGGACACAGGCTGTAGAGACTAGAGGACGCAGGCTGTAGAGACTAGAGGACGCAGGCTGTAGAGACTAGAGGACACAGGCTGTAGAGACTAGAGGACACAGGCTGTAGAGACTAGAGGACACAGGCTGTAGAGACTAGAGGACACAGGCTGTAGAGACTAGAGGACACAGGCTGTAGACACTAGAGGACACAGGCTGTAGAGACTAGAGGACACAGGCTGTAGAGACTAGAGGACGCAGGCTGTAGAGGCTAGAGGACACAGGCTGTAGAGGACTAGAGGACACAGGCTGTAGAGACTAGAGGACACAGGCTGTAGAGACTAGAGGACACAGGCTGTAGAGACTAGAGGACACAGGCTGTAGAGACTAGAGGACACAGGCTGTAGAGGACTAGAGGACACAGGCTGTAGAGACTAGAGGACACAGGCTGTAGAGACTAGAGGACGCAGGCTGTAGAGGCTAGAGGACACAGGCTGTAGAGACTAGAGGACACAGGCTGTAGAGACTAGAGGACACAGGCTGTAGAGACTAGAGGACACAGGCTGTAGAGACTAGAGGACACAGACTGTAGAGACTAGAGGACGCAGGCTGTAGAGACTAGAGGACACAGGCTGTAGAGACTAGAGGACACAGGCTGTAGAGACTAGAGGACACAGGCTGTAGAGACTAGAGGACGCAGGCTGTAGAGACTAGAGGACACAGGCTGTAGAGACTAGAGGACACAGGCTGTAGAGACTAGAGGACACAGGCTGTAGAGACTAGAGGACACAGGCTGTAGAGACTAGAGGACACATACTGTAGAGGCTAGAGGACACAGGCTGTATAGGACTAGAGGACGCAGGCTGTAGAGACTAGAGGACGCAGGCTGTTCACTGCTCGTTCTGTGATTGGAGGAGAACGTCCCGCTCAGACTCTACTCAGCACTTTTCACTGCTTGTATTTCTTACACAGCTGAATCAATGACCCTTAAGTTTTCAATTAAATGATGTATTATGATACAACTTGTATGTAGTAAAAAGCATTTTTATGAACTACTTAGAAAAAATATCGGGTATAGCTTCTTTAATTACCTACTTATAGTTTGCAAAGGCACACCAGACAAAAGTGGCCATGGCCCGCTGGTTGAAAAACACTGGTATAGCAGACTGAAACAACCAGATGAGAGAGAGAGGGAGAGAAAGACAGAAAGAGAGACAGAGAGAGTTTATTCATCCAACTGAATGTCTCCATCTGTGAGATAGTAAAGGATTGATTGATGAAACTGTATATATCTTTCTTGTCATAGGTTCGAATCCCAGTGTCTTTCTCCTCTTGTCTGCGCTGTATAAATAAACATGTCTTCCTTCCTTCCCTGTGGGTGCAGCTCCACGGCTACATGGAGAGCGAGCCCCTGACCTTGCAGCTGTTCATCGGCACCGCGGACGACCGTCTGCTGCGGCCGCACGCCTTCTACCAGGTCCACCGCATCACCGGCAAAACCGTGTCCACGCCGAGTCACGAGGCCCTGCACCACAACACCAAGGTCCTGGAGATCCCTCTGCTGCCGGAGAACAACATGAGGGCCATGTGAGTACTGGGGGCCCCGGAGAGTACTGTAGGGCCCCTGAGAGTACTGTAGGGTCGTGAGAGTACTGTAGGGCCCTGAGAGTACTGCGGGCTCCTGAGAGTACTGTAGGGCCCCTGAGAGTACTGTAGGGTCGTGAGAGTACTGTAGGGCCCTGAGAGTACTGCGGGCTCCTGAGAGTACTGTAGGGTCGTGAGAGTACTGCGGGCCCCTGAGAGTACTGTAGGGTCGTGAGAGTACTGCGGGCCCCTGAGAGTACTGTAGGGTCCCTGAGAGTACTGCGGGCCCCTGAGAGTACTGCGGGCTCCTGAGAGTACTGCGGGCCCCGGAGAGTACTGCGGGCCCCTGAGAGTACAGTAGGCCCCTGAGATTACTGCGGGCCCCTGAGAGTACTGCGGGCCCCTGAGAGTACTGCGGGCCCCTGAGAGTACAGTAGGCCCCTGAGATTACTGCGGGCCCCTGAGAGTACTGCGGGCCCCTGAGAGTACTGTAGGCCCCTGAGATTACTGCGGGCCCCTGAGAGTACTGCGGGGCCCCTGAGCTACGGCACAGTTTACAGATGACTTCACAGACTCTGACTAACAGGACAGTGATGAGGGCGATGGGTGTAAACAACAAAAAACTATGATTAAATTTGTAAATGTTATTCAGCTCTCTGTCTCTCTCTCTCTGTCTCTCTCTCTCTGTCTCTCTCTGTCTGTCTCTCTCTCTCTCTCTCTCTGTCTCTCTGTCTCTCTGCTCTCTCTGTCTCTCTGTCTCTCTCTCTGTCTCTCTCTCTCTCTGTCTCTCTGTCTCTCTCTCTCTCTCTGTCTCTCTCTGTCTCTGTCTCTCTCTGGTCTTAGGTCTCTCTCTCTCTGTGTCTGGATATTTCATATTGACTTCTTGTTGGATAATGATGGATGAAACTATATATTTTGGGCCTCAATAATTATTGTCTTACATTTACAATAAGATTAATTAATTGGTTTCTCCCTCTCTCTCCCTCTCTCTCTCCCCCTCTCCCTCTCTCCCTCTCTCTACCTCTCACTCTGGTCTCTCTCTCTCACCCTCTTGGTCTCTGGTCTCTCCCCCCTCTCCCTCTTCCTCTCCCCTTCTCTCTCCCTGAGCTGCTGTTTGGGTTCCTCTCCCCCCTCTCCCTCTATCTCTGGTCTCTCTCCTTTCCCTCTCCCTCTCTCTCTGGTCTCTCTCCTTTCCCTCTCCCTCTCTCTCTGGTCTCTCTCCTCTCTCTCCCTCTCTCTCTCTGTTGTGGCCCCGGCGCTGGCCCCGGCGCTGGCCCCGGCGCTGGCCCCGGTCCACAGTGAGCGTTTCTGAGGCTGGGGCTCAGGTTTCAGCAGGAGCTGCGTCCTGGGACAGTGTCTGTGGTGCTCTGTGCTTGGATCAGCACTTTCTCTGCTTTAATGGATCTAACACATAAGCTTCGTGTTAGCGGACCACGGGCGCCGCTCGCTCCTCTCACGCGCCGGGGACATCCTGTACAGAGGCGCTGAGACAGACGAGACGTTTGGACACGTTTTATGAATTTGTAAAAGCAGCAAGACTTGGGTCAATCTCTGCTAAGTCTGAGCAGATGTTCAGACGTTAGAGATCTCTGTTTCCTTCAGACGTTAGAGATCTCTGTTTCCTTCAGACGTTAGAGATCTCTGTTTGGTTCAGACGTTAGAGATCTCTGTTTGGTTCAGACGTTAGAGATCTCTGTTTGGTTCAGACGTTAGAGATCTCTGTTTGGTTCAGATGTTAGAGATCTCTGTTTGGTTCAGACGTTAGAGATCTCTGTTTCCTTCAGACGTTAGAGATCTCTGTTTCCTTCAGACGTTAGAGATCTCTGTTTGGTTCTGACGTTAGAGATCTCTGTTTCCTTCAGATGTTAGAGATCTCTGTTTGGTTCAGACGTTAGAGATCTCTGTTTGGTTCTGACGTTAGAGATCTCTGTTTGGTTCAGACGTTAGAGATCTGTTTGGTTCAGACGTTAGAGATCTCTGTTTGGTTCAGACGTTAGAGATCTCTGTTTGGTTCAGACGTTAGAGATCTGTTTGGTTCAGACGTTAGAGATCTGTTTGGTTCAGACATTAGAGATCTCTGTTTGGTTCAGACATTAGAGATCTCTGTTTGGTTCTGACGTTAGAGATCTCTGTTTGGTTCAGATGTTAGAGATCTGTTTGGTTCAGATGTTAGAGATCTCTGTTTGGTTCAGATGTTAGAGATCTGTTTGGTTCAGACGTTAGAGATCTGTTTGGTTCAGACGTTAGAGATCTGTTTGGTTCAGACGTTAGAGATCTCTGTTTGGTTCAGACGTTAGAGATCTCTGTTTGGTTCAGACGTTAGAGATCTCTGTTTGGTTCAGACGTTAGAGATCTCTGTTTGGTTCAGATGTTAGAGATCTCTGTTTGGTTCAGACGTTAGAGATCTCTGTTTCCTTCAGATGTTAGAGATCTCTGCTTGGTTCAGACGTTAGAGATCTCTGTTTGGTTCAGACGTTAGAGATCTCTGTTTCCTTCAGATGTTAGAGATCTCTGTTTGGTTCAGACGTTAGAGATCTCTGTTTGGTTCTGACGTTAGAGATCTCTGTTTGGTTCAGACGTTAGAGATCTGTTTGGTTCAGACATTAGAGATCTCTGTTTGGTTCAGACGTTAGAGATCTCTGTTTGGTTCAGACGTTAGAGATCTCTGTTTGGTTCAGACATTAGAGATCTCTGTTTGGTTCTGACGTTAGAGATCTCTGTTTGGTTCAGACGTTAGAGATCTCTGTTTGGTTCAGATGTTAGAGATCTCTGTTTGGTTCAGACGTTAGAGATCTCTGTTTGGTTCAGACGTTAGAGATCTCTGTTTGGTTCAGATGTTAGAGATCTCTGTTTGGTTCAGACGTTAGAGATCTCTGTTTCCTTCAGATGTTAGAGATCTCTGTTTGGTTCAGACGTTAGAGATCTCTGTTTGGTTCAGACGTTAGAGATCTCTGTTTGGTTCAGACGTTAGAGATCTCTGTTTCCTTCAGACGTTAGAGATCTCTGTTTGGTTCAGACGTTAGAGATCTCTGTTTCCTTCAGACGTTAGAGATCTGTTTGGTTCAGACGTTAGAGATCTCTGTTTCCTTCAGACGTTAGAGATCTGTTTGGTTCAGACGTTAGAGATCTCTGTTTGGTTCAGACGTTAGAGATCTGTTTGGTTCAGACGTTAGAGATCTGTTTGGTTCAGATGTTAGAGATCTCTGTTTGGTTCAGACGTTAGAGATCTCTGTTTCCTTCAGACGTTAGAGATCTCTGTTTGGTTCAGACGTTAGAGATCTCTGTTTCCTTCAGACGTTAGAGATCTGTTTGGTTCAGACGTTAGAGATCTCTGTTTGGTTCAGACGTTAGAGATCTCTGTTTGGTTCAGACATTAGAGATCTCTGTTTGGTTCAGATGTTAGAGATCTCTGTTTGGTTCAGATGTTAGAGATCTGTTTGGTTCAGATGTTAGAGATCTGTTTGGTTCAGATGTTAGAGATCTCTGTTTGGTTCAGATGTTAGAGATCTGTTTGGTTCAGACGTTAGAGATCTGTTTGGTTCAGATGTTAGAGATCTCTGTTTGGTTCAGACGTTAGAGATCTCTGTTTCCTTCAGACGTTAGAGATCTGTTTGGTTCAGACGTTAGAGATCTGTTTGGTTCAGACGTTAGAGATCTGTTTGGTTCAGACGTTAGAGATCTGTTTGGTTCAGATGTTAGAGATCTCTGTTTGGTTCAGACGTTAGAGATCTCTGTTTGGTTCAGACGTTAGAGATCTCTGTTTGGTTCTGACGTTAGAGATCTCTGTTTGGTTCAGACGTTAGAGATCTGTTTGGTTCAGATGTTAGAGATCTCTGTTTGGTTCAGATGTTAGAGATCTCTGTTTGGTTCAGACGTTAGAGATCTGTTTGGTTCAGACGTTAGAGATCTGTTTGGTTCAGACGTTAGAGATCTCTGTTTGGTTCAGATGTTAGAGATCTGTTTGGTTCACACGTTAGAGATCTGTTTGGTTCAGATGTTAGAGATCTCTGTTTGGTTCAGACGTTAGAGATCTCTGTTTCCTTCAGATGTTAGAGATCTCTGTTTGGTTCAGATGTTAGAGATCTGTTTGGTTCAGATGTTAGAGATCTGTTTGGTTCAGATGTTAGAGATCTGTTTGGTTCAGATGTTAGAGATCTCTGTTTGGTTCAGACGTTAGAGATCTGTTTGGTTCAGATGTTAGAGATCTGTTTGGTTCAGATGTTAGAGATCTCTGTTTGGTTCAGATGTTAGAGATCTGTTTGGTTCAGATGTTAGAGATCTCTGTTTGGTTCAGATGTTAGAGATCTCTGTTTGGTTCAGATGTTAGAGATCTGTTTGGTTCAGATGTTAGAGATCTGTTTGGTTCAGATGTTAGAGATCAGGACTCCCTTGTTCTTAAACTCTAACCTGGTCAGACAAAGGCTCAATAAAACTATTAGGGTTGAAATAGTTACTTTCATTCACTCGTCACGCTTTTGTTTAGTATTTAGTATATTTTTTGTAAAAGGGAAACTTTAGTTAAAAACTGATTCGATACAATTTGAGGTAATTTCTTGAATCCAGCGGTTTTTGTCTTAATTTGAGTTTATTCTGATTGTCTTAAAACAAGATTTGCCAAAAGGACAAAGCCATTTAGTCTTCATTCAACTGCTAAAGCTAGGCTAAATGCTAAAGCTAGGCTAAATGCTAAAGCTAGGCTAAATGCTAAATGCCTCACTCACTCGGGCTCATTACATACAGTACGTGACGGTCAACTCAGATCCAATGGTTTCAATCTGCAAAAGAAGTTACCCCTCCCACCAAGCTTTGTGCCGGCACCGGGGCTGAAAGATTAGCGTCGCCTGGAACTCTCAAAGATCAATGGGAAACTCTCAAAGATCTATGGGAAACTCTCAAAGATCTATGGGAAACTCTCAAAGATCTATGGGAAACTCTCAAAGATCTATGGGAAACTCTCAAAGATCTCTGGGAAACTCGCCTGTATTTGGGCCTCGTCTGGTCCTCCCGGTTCTGTGCAGTGGATGATCTCCCATGATGCATTGCGCCAAACACGCGTGTGTGGGTCTCACACCGGGTCTCACGCACGTGCACAGAGGGTCTCATGCACGTGCACAGAGGGTCTCACGCACGTGCACAGAGGGGCTCACGCACGTGCACAGAGGGTCTCACGCACGTGCACAGAGGGTCTCACGCACGTGCACAGAGGGTCTCACACACGTGCACAGAGGGGCTCGGCTCTGACCAATCAGAGCAGTTCATCAGAGCGGGAGTTAGAGCGAGAGCCAGAGGAGCAGAGTTTGTGGCACTAAAGTGTGGATTTAAACAACACCAAAGGATTTAAGAAGAAAAAAAGTTCAGGACGACAAGGGACACTAACATCCCCACAAAATCTGACCTTTATGAAAGCTGTAGGTTCTCTGTCAGGTTCTCTGTCAGGTTCTCTGTGTTGGTTCTCTGTCAGGTTCTCTGTCAGGTTCTCTGTCAGGTTCTCTGTTGGTTCTCTGTCAGGTTCTCTGTCAGGTTCTCTGTCAGCTGAGGTTGAGCTGTTTTAGTTTACATTGAGTTCTATGGGGAACATTTCTGTGTAGCCCACGTGAATTTAGTCTGGTTTAATCTAACTTAGTCTGGTTCAGTCTACAGTACCGCGAGAATCCCCTGAGCACATGAGTTCTTCAGCTCCAAGCAGTAACACCCTCTCCAGTTATTATATAGGTCCATTTCTCCCACCTGTTAATGGAGTCAATGGAGCAAATCCAGACCTTAGTACAAATGAAACTAGTACAATGGTTTGGTAAGACCAGGCTAGGAATGATGTGTTTGTGTCTCAACTTAATAAATGTATTGATTTGATTTGGACACAACAGTTCCATTGGACAGACCAGACCTTTAGTGAGATATAGCCAAAAAAAGCCAAAACATGATCAAAGAAGAAACCAAGCCCTGAACAGAGCTAGCTTACATCGTATCCTCTGGAGAGACTGGTCTGAGGGAGAGACCTGCGGGACCGCCTCGGACTATCTACGCTCGGACTATCTACGCTCGGACTATCTACGCTCGGACTATCTACGCTCGGACTATCTACGCTCGGACTATCTACGCTCGGACTATCTACGCTCGGACTATCTGCGCTCGGACTATCTACGCTCGGACTATCTACGCTCGGACTATCTACGCTCGGACTATCTACGCTCGGACGATCTACGCTCGGACTATCTACGCTCGGACTATCTACGCTCGGACTATCTACGCTCGGACTATCTACGCTCGGACGATCTACGCTCGGACTGTCTACGCTCGGACGATCTACGCTCGGACTATCTACGCTCGGACTATCTACGCTCGGACTATCTACGCTCGGACTATCTACGCTCGGACGATCTACGCTCGGACTATCTATGCTCGGACGATCTACGCTCGGACTATCTACGCTCAGACTATCTACGCTCGGACTATCTGCGCTCGGACTATCGGACTATCTAGGCTCGGACTATCTACGCTCGGACTATCTACGCTCGGACTATCTACGCTCGGACTATCTGCGCTCGGACGATCTACGCTCGGACTATCTACGCTCGGACTATCTATCTAGGCTCGGACTATCTACGCTCGGACTATCGGACTATCTACGCTCGGACTATCTACGCTCGGACTATCTACGCTCGGACTATCTACGCTCGGACTATCTACGCTCGGACTATCTACGCTTGGACCACATTTGGACGTGAAACTAGTGGTAATCTTTCAGTTATATATTTTGTTAGCAGTGCGTTGCTTTTGTACCATTTCATCAGTGATTGATGTCCAGCTAACAAGAAGTTGTGCTAATGCTAATATTAGCATATGTGTCAGATTCCAAATAAAACTAGATGGCTCCGTGGGAGGAGAGCGTGGGGGAAAGGAGAAGCCTGTGAGCGAGTTGGGGGCGGGGCTAAACATTCAAACTGAAAAAAACCTACAAAAACAGGTGCAGCTCCTTTAAGGTCAGTACTAGGTTTAGGTTTTGGGTAAAGGTGAGTTATAAATCCAGGATCAACTTAATTTTTCTTTCACACCTGTACAATACATTTTGTTTTACATACAGTAAAGACGAAAAATTTGGACACCTTCTCATTCAAATAGTTTTTTTATTTTCATGATTATCAAAATTGTAGATTGACACTGAGGGCCTCAAACCTATGAATGAACTCATGAGAATTATGTCCGTACTAAAAAAGTATGAACCAAGTAAATATGTGTTATATTCTGGTTCTTCAAAGCAGCTCCTTTTGCTCTGATACTGCTTCACTCTTGGCATTATCAGAATCAGAATCAGAATCATTTTTATTGCCACGTAAGTAACAGGAAGTCACAGACTTGGAAATTGCTTTGGCTCAGTGCAACAGTCAGAAAGAGATAATAAAACTAAAGAATAAAAATAAAGAATAAAAAACACTTAAACACTTAAAAACACTTAAACACTTAAAAATAAAATTTAAAATAGAGTTACAGTTACTATTTACAATATACAAGTGCACATGGTGCACACCATGTAAGGTGACAGCAGTACAGTGAAGTAAAGTGACGTATGATGGGCAGTAAAGTGACTTTATAAAGGGCGGGGGGACAGGTTAAGAAGTGTTCAAGAGTCCAACAGCAGAGGGGAAGAAACTGTTCTTGTGGCGGGAGGTTCTAGTCCTGATGGACCGCAGCCTCCTGCCTGAGGGGAGTGGTTGGAATAGTCCATGTGCAGGTGAGAGGGGAGTGGTTGGAATAGTCCATGTGCAGGTGAGAGGGGAGTGGTTGGAATAGTCCATGTGCAGGGTGAGAGGGGAGTGGTTGGAATAGTCCATGTGCAGGTGAGAGGGGAGTGGTTGGAATAGTCCATGTGCAGGTGAGAGGGGAGTGGTTGGAATAGTCCATGTGCAGGGTGAGAGGGGTCGGCTGTGATACGACCAGCCCGGCCTCGAGCTTCAAGAGGACCTGAAATGGTCTTCAACAGTCTTGAAGGAGTTCCCATGATGCTTAGCACTTTTTGGCCCCTTCACTCTGTGGTCCAGCCGCAAAACCATCTGGACTGGGTTCAGGTCCAAAACCATCTGGACTGGGTTCAGGTCCAAAACCATCTGGACTGGGTTCAGGTCTGGTCTCTCTCCTTATTGGTCAAACAGCCCTTACACAGCCTGGTGCAGGTCTACAGCAATAGTCATGAAAAGAACTCAGTGAAGGAGGAGGGTGTCCACACTTTTGCTCTGTACTGTATATGTGTATGTGTGTGTGTGTGTGTTTATATATCAACAGACAAATAAACCCGTACCTGGTTCAAAAAGGGGTTGGATGAAGCAAAACAAAGGAAATACAATAATAACAAACACATAGAGAGCGGTCCATAAATGTCCTTAAATGTCCCGGTCACCTCTGTCCTTAGACCTTCCTGCTTCTGCGAGGACCGTGGGCTTTGCTGCTTCCTCGAGCACAAAAGCGAGTTCCTTCCTCGTTGGTGTCGGTCGTTAGGTGCAGTGGTTCTGTGGCACCGTGTCGGTCGTTAGGTGCAGTGGTTCTGTTGGCACCGTGTCGGTCGTTAGGTGCAGTGGTTCTGTTGGCACCGTGTCGGTCGTTAGGTGCAGTGGTTCTGTTGGCACCGTGTCGGTCGTTAGGTGCAGTGGTTCTGTTGGCACCGTGTCGGTCGTTAGGTGCAGTGGTTCTGTTGGCACCGTGTCGGTCGTTAGGTGCAGTGGTTCTGTTGGCACCGTGTCGGTCGTTAGGTGCAGTGGTTCTGTTGGCACCGTGTCGGTCGTTAGGTGCAGTGGTTCTGTTGGCACCGTGTCGGTCGTTAGGTGCAGTGGTTCTGTTGGCACCGTGTCGGTCGTTAGGTGCAGTGGTTCTGTTGGCACCGTGTCGGTCGTTAGGTGCAGTGGTTCTGTTGGCACCGTGTCGGTCGTTAGGTGCAGTGGTTCTGTTGGCACCGCGTCGGTCGTTTAGGTGCAGTGGTTCTGTTGGCACCGTGTCGGTCGTTAGGTGCAGTGGTTCTGTTGGCACCGTGTCGGTCGTTAGGTGCAGTGGTTCTGTTGGCACCGTGTCGGTCGTTAGGTGCAGTGGTTCTGTTGGCACCGTGTCGGTCGTTAGGTGCAGTGGTTCTGTTGGCACCGTGTCGGTCGTTAGGTGCAGTGGTTCTGTTGGCACCGTGTCGGTCGTTAGGTGCAGTGGTTCTGTTGGCACCGTGTCGGTCGTTAGGTGCAGTGGTTCTGTTGGCACCGTGTCGGTCGTTAGGTGCAGTGGTTCTGTTGGCACCGTGTCGGTCGTTAGGTGCAGTGGTTCTGTTGGCACCGCGTCGGTCGTTAGGTGCAGTGGTTCTGTTGGCACCGTGTCGGTCGTTAGGTGCAGTGGTTCTGTTGGCACCGTGTCGGTCGTTAGGTGCAGTGGTTCTGTTGGCACCGTGTCGGTCGTTAGGTGCAGTGGTTCTGTTGGCACCGTGTCGGTCGTTAGGTGCAGTGGTTCTGTTGGCACCGTGTCGGTCGTTAGGTGCAGTGGTTCTGTTGGCACCGTGTCGGTCGTTAGGTGCAGTGGTTCTGTTGGCACCGTGTCGGTCGTTAGGTGCAGTGGTTCTGTTGGCACCGTGTCGGTCGTTAGGTGCAGTGGTTCTGTTGGCACCGTGTCGGTCGTTAGGTGCAGTGGTTCTGTTGGCACCGCTTCTGTTTACTCTGCTGCTTCCATCGCTCAGGCCTCCCTGGTACCGCTCGCCGTTAGCTTGATTAGGACAACTCCAAATCATTTCCCAAGTGAGAGTAACGGATAGTTCAAACAGGCTGCCATTCACCTGGATTATGGTCTGGTCTGCCTGGGGCTGGAACCATGTCAAAGTCTATTTTTAGTGACAATAAATGTGCTAAACCCAAACTCTAAATGATATATTATGAACCCAGTGCGTTCTCCTTTCTAAGCTTTTATCATTGTCTGTATTCGTCACAACGTTATGGGCGTTACGTAACACTGTTTATATAATACCATGGGGGTTCTGGATGATCCCTGCTTCTGGTTCTTGGTCCATCACCTGCTCTGAGGTCTGGAATGTGGGGGAGGCCGAGTTTACGTGAACCGGGCCAGAGGAATGCAGTTCAAGATTGGCGCCAAAATAAATGCCTGAAAACACTTGCTGCAGGAACAAGAGGTTTGAAGAAGAAAGCGGAGGATCCCGTGTCTGGGTTTCTGACGTGAAAACAAATAAATGCTGAATTTGACATATTTTACGGTGAATAATGAGGTCTTCCCGCTGATTGTCCTGTGCCCCGAGGAAGGCCGATATTTCAAATGTTTCTTACTATTGCTAAATGTTAAAATACTGGACTTATTTTGTAGGTCCATAATCTCTGGGCTGGTTAACTTTGCTTCTAAACGTACGATTCAAAATGGTTTCACGACAGCATCTGCTTTGCTTTTGGAGATAGATTTAAAAATTACGTCAACACAACATTACTATTACTTTTACTCTCACCTGAGCCTGGATCAGACTCGACCTGGACTAGCCCCGGACTAGACCTGGACTCGAAGGGCCCGGCTCTGAATGAGACATAATGAGATGAGCTTTGGTCCTTCATCCAAATCAGACCTGGAGTTGTTTTTAGATCCATCCACGGCACATATTAAACATACTGTATAAGCTCTACTGTCTCTCTTCTGTCTAAATGCTTCTATCTCAGTCCTTTGATTCTATGATGTCATTGTACCACTATGACATCACACTCGGAGCAGCAAGAGCATCCCTAAATTAGTTTTGGAATTGTCTAAAGTGAAATTACCTTTTTGTAGAATTTGGGGGAAAAAACCAAAACCAATTCATTTTCTCCCTCTGGTGGCAGCATGGGGAGTTGCAGGTGGAACGACATTTTTATCCTTCATACATTTTTTACCATAGCCTGGTCTTACCACACCATTGTACTCATATCATTTCATACTAAGGTCTGGATTTGCTCCATTGACTCCGTTAACAGGTGGGAGGGGCTAACTCGTAGGCTAACTTGCAGATTGAAACCATTGGATCTGAGTTTACCGTGACGTATGTAATGAGCCTGAGTGAGTCGTTAGCATATAGCCTAGCTTTAGCATGTAGCCTAGCTTTAGCCATCTCCTTTGGTGCTAACAGAGCCTGTGGGGAGTAGCGCCACAATCTTTGCAGAGATTACATTTGCTAAACATTCCTCTTGCTCCGGCTTCAGTTTCTTGATAGAACCAGACCAGAATACTTTACTATCACATTCTTCTCCAAACTACAACCTGCCCGTTCAACGCTAACTCTTGACGTCACCGACACCGACCTACAACACCCGCCTCCCGCGCTCTCTGATTGGTCGGATGGAATTCACCCGATTGTAATCACAAACACAGGGACCAGACCCAGTCGTTACCTGCAGGGCATGATGACTGACCTGAGTGTACGGATGGATAAGACCAGGGGAGTTTTACCATATTTTTTGCACTTATATATTATTTCACATTCTAAATGAAGTAAATGGCCTCATTATCATTTTAATGGCCAAAAGCAATGCGTTATATTTCTTCCCGATTCCAAAACTATCCTCGATTTAGTAAACAATAATCCGTTTAGATTTAATTTATTTTTGTATAGCCCTAAATAGCGTTGGGAACCTAAGGGTATCGTATCGTATCGTATCGTATCACGATACGATACGATACAAAGCTCACAATAACAATAATATCACGATAACGAGTTTTATCACGATATGACGATTATCGATATATTGGTCAGAAATACTCCCCCCTGGACTGCCACCTTAACGTGGTGGGGGAGTTTGAGTACTCGGATGATCCTGGGAGCTATGCTGTCTGGGGCTTCATGCCCCTGGTAGGGTCTCCCATGGCAGACAGGTGTCAGGTGACGAGTCAGACGAAGAGCAGTCAGAAGCCAACATGGACAGCACGAAAAGAAGAACCGTGACGTCGCCCGGCATGGCGCAGCCGGGGCCCCACCCTGGAGCCAGGCCTGGGGTCGGGGCTCGAATGCGAGCGCCTGGTGGCCGGGCCTTAGCCCACGGGGCCCGGCCGGGCTCAGCCCGAAAGGACGACGTGGGCAGTCCCTCCTGTGGGCCCACCACCCGCAGAGGGGTCTGTGGCGGCTCGGTGCAGAGAGGACTGGGCAGCAGTCGAAGGCGGAGACCTCGGCGACCCAGGCGACCCAGTCCGCACACCCAACATCTGGCTCTTGGGACGTGGAACGTCACCTCACTGGGGGGGAAGGAGCCCGAGCTTGTGGGGGAGATCGAGAGGTACCGACTAGAGATAGTCGGCCTCACCTCCACACACAGCTTGGGCTCTGGAACCCAACTCCTTGAGAGGGGTTGGACGCTCCACTTTTCTGGTGTTTCTCGCGGGGAGAGGCGGCGAGCTGGGGTGGCCATACTCATTGCCCCCCATCTCAGCCGCCACGTGTTGGAGTTCTCCCCGGTGAATGAGAGGGTCGCGTCCCTCCGCCTTCGGGTGGGGGACAAGTCTCTCACTGTTGTGACGGCCTACGGGCTAACAGCAGTGCAGAGTACTCGGCCTTCTTGGAGTCCTTGGGAGGGGTACTAGACGGTGCACCGCCCGGGGACTCCGTCATTCTCCTGGGGGACTTTAACGCCCATGTGGGAAGCGCCAGTGACACTTGGAGAGGGGTGATCGGGAAGAATGGCCCCCCTGATCTGAACCCGAGTGGTGTTCAGTTGTTGGACTTCTGTGCTAGTCACGGTTTGTCCATCACGAACACCATGTTCGAGCACAAGGGTGTCCACCAGTGCACGTGGCACCAGGACACCCTAGGCCGGAGGTTGATGATCGACTTTGTTGTCGTATCATCTGACCTTCGGCCGCGTGTTTCGGACACTCGGGTAAAGAGAGGGGCGGAGCTGTCAACCGATCACCACCTGGTCGTGAGTTGGATCCGCTGGCAGGGGAAGAAGCCGGTCAGACCTGGCAGACCCAAGCGTGTAGTGAGGGTCTGCTGGGAACGTCTCGCTGAGACCCCTGTCAGACGGACTTTCAACTCACACCTCCGGGAGAGCTTCTCCCAGGTCCCGGCGGAGGAGGGGGATATTGAGTCTGAGTGGACCATGTTCTCTTCCTCTATCGCCGATGCGGCGGCTCGTAGCTGTGGTCGCAAGGTCTCTGGTGCTGGTCCCGGCGGCAACCCCCGAACCCGGTGGTGGACACCGGCAGTAAGGGATGCCGTCAGGCTGAAGAAGGAGTCCTATCGAGCCATGATGGTTCGGGGGACTCCTGAGGCAGCTGTCCAGTACCGGCAGGCCAAGCGTGCCGCGGCCCGGGCCGTTGCAGAGGCAAAAACCCGGGACTGGGAGGAATTCGGAGAGTCCATGGAGCATGACTATCGGTCGGCCTCGAAGAGATTCTGGCAAACTGTCCGGCGCCTCAGGAGGGGGAAGCAGTTCTTTGCCAACACCGTGTACGGTGCGGGGGGTGAGCTGCTGACCTCGACCGGGGATATTGTCGGACGGTGGAAGGAATACTTTGAGGTTCTCCTCAATCCCCCCGTCACGTCCTCCGCTCCGGAGGCAGAGGCTGAGGATGTTGGGGCGGATACTTCTGTCACCCTGGCAGAGGTCACCAAGGTGGTTGGCAGCCTCCTTGGTGGCAAGGCGCCGGGAGTGGATGAGATCCGTCCTGACTATCTAAAGTCTCTGGATGTTGTAGGACTGTCTTGGCTGACACGTCTCTGCAACATCGCGTGGCGATCGGGGGCGGTGCCAATGGAGTGGCAGACCGGGGTGGTGTGGTCCCTCTCTACAAGAAGGGGGACCGGAGGGTGTGTTCCAATTATCGTGGGATCACACTCCTCAGCCTCCCTGGTAAGGTTTACTCCAAGGTACTGGAGAGGAGGTTACGGCCGATGGTCGAATCTCGGATTCAGGAGGAGCAGTGTGGTTTTGGTCCCGGCCGTGGAACACTGGACCAGCTCTATACTCTCCATCGGATACTCGAGGGTTCATGGGAGTTCGCCCAACCTGTCCACATGTGCTTTGTGGATTTGGAGAAGGCGTTCGACCGTGTTCCCCGGGGTGTCCTTTGGGGGGTTCTCCGTGAGTACGGGGTCCGGGGTCCTCTGCTGAGGGCCGTCCGGTCCCTGTATGACCGGAGCCAGAGCTGTGTTCGCATTGCTGGCAGTAAGTCAGACCTGTTCCCGGTGCATGTTGGCCTCCGCCAGGGCTGCCCTTTGTCACCGATTCTGTTCACTGTATTCATGGACAGAATTTCTAGGCGCAGCCAAGGGTCGGAGGGGGTCCGGTTCGGGGACCACAGGATTTCATCTCTGCTGTTTGCAGACGATGTTGTCCTGTTGGCTCCAACGAACCAGGACCTACAACATGCACTGGGACGGTTTGCAGCCGAGTGTGAAGTGGCTGGGATGAGAATCAGCACCTCCAAATCTGAGGCCATGGTGCTCGACCGGAAAAAGGTGCCTTGCCCTCTCCGGGTGGGAGGAGAGGCCCTTCCTCAAGTGGAGGAGTTCAAGTATCTCGGGGTCTTGTTCACGAGTGAGGGAAGGATGGAGCGTGAGATTGACAGGCGGATCGGTGCAGCGTGCGCAGTGATGCGGTCGCTGTATCGGACCGTTGTGGTAAAGAGGGAGCTGAGCCGAAAGGCAAAGCTCTCAATTTACCGGTCAATCTTCGTCCCCTCCCTCACCTATGGTCATGAGCTTTGGGTAATGACCGAAAGAACAAGATCGCGGATACAAGCGGTCGAAATGAGCTTCCTCCGCAGAGTGGCTGCTCCCTTAGAGATAGGGTGAGGAGCTCAGTCACACGGGAGGAGCTCGGAGTAGAACCGCTGCTACTCCACGTCGAGAGGAACCAGTTGAGGTGGCTCGGGCATCTGTTCCGGATGCCTCCTGGACGCCTCCCTGGGGAGGTGTTCCGGGCACGTCCCACCGGGAGGAGGCCCCGGGGAAGACCCAGGACACAGAGGGACTATGTCTCTCAGCTGGCCTGGGAACGCCTTGGGGTCCCCCCGGACGAGCTGGAGGAAGTGTGTGTGGATAGGGAAGTCTGGGCGTCTCTGCTTAGACTGCTGCCCCCGCGACCCGGCAACGGATGAAGCGGAAGAAAATGGATGGATGGATGGATGGTCAGAAATATACCATATGCCAATTTATGGCATACATAAAAGAAAAATGCTAAGTGAAAAAATACACTTTATTTCATGATAAATGGAACGGAGATGAGTAATGAAGCCACATATTAAGAATTGACCTATTCAAAAAAAAACAATGGAAAAAAAAAATATATTTAAAAAAATTAAAATAAAAAATAAAAAGAGTTCGGTCGAAGCAAAACGCGTATTTTAATCCAATCCTCTCGGCGCCGTTCAAACACAAACTACACAATAGAGAAAACAATAAAAGAATCATAGCCTACATTAACCTCCAACAAAACACGTGACAGAAAAATGACATCAATGTTTTTTAAATACGTCAGACCCTCGCGGTCCTTAGACCCTGGATCGGAACCTCTCAAAAACCCCTAAAACCAGGACTATACTAAAACCAGACTGGGTTTAAGAGCAGTGTTTCTCAACCAGTGTGCCGCGGGACGATAGTGTGCCTTGAGATGTTGTTTGGTGTGCCTTTGGACATTTTTTTGTGCTTGTTTGATTCTCTAAACATTTTGATGAGAAGGACATTCTATGGTCACGGCTGCAGAGTTGAATGTCTGTGTCAGTTTGAGCTGCTGGTTTACCATGTGTGTGCCACAGGTTGGGGAACGCTGCTATAGAGTGTGTTTGACGTTGACTGTTTCTTCCAGAATCGACTGCGCTGGGATCCTGAAGCTGCGGAACTCGGACATCGAGCTGCGTAAAGGAGAGACGGACATCGGGAGAAAGAACACGCGTGTGCGGATGGTCTTCAGGGTCCACATCAACCAGAGCTCAGGCCGGACCACCTCCCTCCAGGCCTCCTCCAACCCCATCGAGTGCTGTGAGTGTGGGATACTGCTGCTGCTACTGCTACTGCTGCTGCTGCTGCTGCTGCTGCTGCTACTGCTGCTGCTGCTACTGCTGCTGCTGCTGCTGCTACTGCTGCTGCTGCTGCTGCTACTGCTGCTACTGCTGCTACTACTGCTGCTGCTGCTACTGCTGCTGCTGCTGCTGCTGCTGCTACTGCTGCTGCTGCTGCTACTGCTGCTGCTGCTGCTGCTGCTGCTGCTGCTGCTGCTGCTGCTGCTGCTGCTACTGCTGCTGCTACTGCTGCTGCTGCTGCTACTGCAGCTGCTGCTGCTGCTGCTGCTGCTGCTACTGCTACTGCTGCTGCTGCTGCTGCTACTGCTGCTGCTGCTAATGCTGCTGCTGCTGCTGCTGCTAATGCTGCTACTGCTACTACTGCTGCTGCTGCTGCTACTGCTGCTGCTGCTAATGCTGCTACTACTGCTGCTGCTGTTGCTGCTACTGCTACTACTGCTGCTGCTGCTGCTGCTGCTGCTGCTGCTGCTGCTGCTACTGCTGCTACTGCTGCTACTACTGCTGCTGCTGCTACTGCTGCTACTGCTACTGCTGCTACTGCTGCTACTACTGCTGCTGCTGCTACTGCTACTGCTGCACATTTGTACATAAAGTTATGAACGGAAAAGGGGAATGGGGCAACGAGGGTGGAGGGGTTAAACTCATATACACACACAGTCACACACATATATATACACACACTCTGGCACACACAGAGAGCACAGCACAGTCACACACATACGCACCACTGCGCACTCATATGCGCACACACACACACGCACGCACAGCACATACTGTATACACACCCGTGTAAAGGACAATGTTGTGTGTTCTTTGCTTCTATCTTATTGTGTTTGTGCGTCCGTCTGCACCTGTGTCGTGTCTCTGTATTTTCATGATGAAATATGAACAATAAGTGGTTATGCAACTGTTGTTAATGCACTGGGACAGATGTGTGCGTCCTTTCTACACATCTGGGCAGCAGAGTTCAAAACCCGGACAGACTTTGGGCCTCGATGGTTGCCCTCCGCTTTAGGGCAATACAGAATGTGAGCTTTAGAAAACTTTGTTTTCTACCAAGAAATTTAATATTTAATGATACAGTCAGTGATTTTTTTCTGACGCATTTTTTTAAATATTGTGGGAAAACGTCCCTAAACCCCTAAAAGTATCAAGTATTTTCAAATAGTAATGGAATTGACCAGATGTCTATAGTCTGTGTAGATGTCTATGTCTATAGTCCGATTAAAATGGGGGGGGAGTGGTTTGGTGGAGAGGGAGGGGAGGGGGGAGTGGTTTCACTTGGTGCTACGGCTAAGCTAACAAAATCACTCACTTCACCTTTAAGGCCCACACTCGTCATTCCACAGAAAGAATAGACCCAAAATTCAAAGAACTTATTTACAGATTTTAAGCTCACCCTAAACATTAATATACCATGTGTTTCAGGACGCTCCATTCTGCATTTTAAAGCTGGGGAACCTAAATTCTTAGTTTCATCAATAAATTAATTGAATCCAGAACGAGTCAGACGACAACATGCTGCCTTCATCTTTTACATAATGAGAGCTGATTGGCCGAGAGATTCCTACTGTTCTGTGCCTTGTGATGCAACACTGAAATTTCCCCGCTGTGGGATCAATAAAGGATCTGTTCATCTTAATCTTAAACCCGGTGATAGAACCCAAACTGAGAGCAAGGATGGATTAACTGCACCGTCATTTATTATCGTTGAGTTGAGTGTTTTTTTGGAGTTTTATGTGCTTTAAATCATTACTATCTCCTGTTCTGTTGTTCTTTGATCCCTGAGGCTTATAAAGTGCTGCGGCCCTGAGGCTTATAAAGTGCTGCGGCCCTGAGGCTTATAAAGTGCTGCGGCCCTGAGGCTTATAAAGTGCTGCGGCCCTGAGGCTTATAAAGTGCTGCGGCCCTGAGGCTTATAAAGTGCTGCGGCTAATATATGCACTTACTGTGGTTGGGTTGTTGTTAGTAGCTACAGACTGTAGTTTATTTTCATTATCAGGTAATCTGTCACTAGATCATGTTGTGACTTGTTAAAACAGTCTTTCTGCTACAAACATGAAAACCTGCGGCTTATATTCAAGTGAGGCTTATGTGTGGAAACAATGTACTTTTACTTCAAATGTTGCTGGTGCGGCTTATACAGGTGTGCTTTATGGTCCAGAAAGTACGGTAGTCATTTCTCCCCCCCCCCTCTCTCTCTCTTTCTCTTGCTCTCTCTCTCTTTCTCTCTCTGTCTCTCCCCCCTCTCTCTCTCATTCTCTCTCTCTCTCTCTCGTTCTTTCTCTCTCTCTCACCCTCCCCCCCTCTCTCACTCTCTCTCTCTCTCATTCTCTCTCTCTCTCTCACTCTCTCTCGTTCTTTCTCTCTCTCTCACCCTCCCCCCCTCTCTCACTCTCTCTCTCTCTCATTCTCTCTCTCTCTCTTGCTCTTCTCTCTCTCTCCCTCCCTCCTCTCACTCTCTCTCTTGCTCTTTCTTTCTATCTCACCCTCCCCCCCCCTCTCTCTCTCTCTCTCGCTCTTTTCTCTCTCTCTCTCTCCCTCCCCCCCTCACTCTCTCTCGCTCTTTCTCTCTCTCCCTCCCTCCCCCTCTCTTTTGCGCTCTCTCTCCCTCTTTTTTCTGGCTCTCGCTCCCCCCCTCTCTCTCCTTCCTCTCCCCTCCCCCTCTCTCTCTCCGCCCCACTCTCTCCCCTTCTCTCTCTCTCTCTCTCTCTCTCTTTCTCTCTGTCTCTCCCCCCTCTCTCTCTCTCATTCTCTCTCTCTCTCTCTCTCTCTCGTTCTTTCTCTCTCTCTCACCCTCCCCCCCTCTCTCACTCTCTCTCTCTCTCATTCTCTCTCTCTCTCTCACTCTCTCTCGTTCTTTCTCTCTCTCTCACCCTCCCCCCCTCTCTCACTCTCTCTCTCTCTCATTCTCTCTCTCTCTCTTGCTCTTTCTCTCTCTCTCCCTCCCTCCTCTCACTCTCTCTCTTGCTCTTTCTTTCTATCTCACCCTCCCCCCCCTCTCTCTCTCTCTCGCTCTTTCTCTCTCTCCTCTCCCTCCCCCCCTCACTCTCTCTCGCTCTTTCTCTCTCTCCCTCCCTCCCCCTCTCTTTTGCGCTCTCTCTCCCTCTTTTTTCTGGCTCTCGCTCCCCCCCTCTCTCTCCTTCCTCTCCCCTCCCCCTCTCTCTCTCCGCCCCACTCTCTCCCCTTCTCTCTCTCTCTCTCTCACCCCTTTCCCCTCCCCCTCTCCCTCCCTCTCTCTCTCCCTCCCCCTCTCTCCCCCTCTCTCTCACCCTCCCCCTCTCTCTCTCTCTCTCTGATGAAGTCTGCTGAAGTAAATGACAGACTGTAGTTAAACCATGAGCTCAGATCCTGAACCATTGTTTAGGTCTGAAAGTTAGAAGCAGCTCGTCCCAGAATGCATCTGTGTCGCTAAAACAATACAGTATCACAGAAACTACAGTTAGTTAAAAACTGCTGCAGTAAATTTATAGTTAGTGTTTGCCTCCTGTGCAAGTATTTTAACATATTTATTGACATTTATTAACATTTATTGACATTTATTGACATTTATTAACATTTCTGAACATTGGTCCTCCCCCGTGTGTGTTTGTTATTATTGCTTGTCCTCTGAGGATACGCTGTGATTTAGGGATTTACACAAATAAAAATAATGTTAAATGTATTTACACCATAAAAAAAATTCTAACAGAAAAAGCGTTTCTAAAATTGATTCAAATTGATCAATATGAGAAAGAATGATTAAATATTCTTATGTTTCCATATCTCCCTCCCGCCGAGGTGTGACTGTGTTTGTGTAACTGGAAGATTCTAAAGATAAATAATTGGATTTTTTTGACAGTTGACATTTGAATCCAGCTGCAGGAGTTTCTAAACATAATGAGAATGTGCCAGAACCTTCTCAAACCCCCGTCACCAGATTCTGCACCAGGAAAAAAAAAGTATTTAAAGTTGTGCAAATCTTTCCTGACAGTTACGAACCATTTCAAGGAAAAATAAAAGTTCACAAAGAACGGAGCGTTGCCAAAAAGGTGAGAGCCGCTGGGACGCACACGAGCCGCCATAAATCTCAATCCCACTCCAAATAAAACTGCTTTTTAACGCCCAGTAAAAAAAAATGGTTCAGTGAAAACAAAATACAGTGGTTGGCAAATGTTTCTCCCCAGAGCTGCAGCCGAGAGGCCGTTTGGACCGGAGCCAGAGGCCAGATTATAGCATGGATTATACATAGATTATAGCCCAGATTATAGCTCGGATTATAGCACGGATTCTATAACAGATTATAGCATAGATTATAGCACAGATTATATCATAGATTATAGCACAGATAATAGCACAGAGTATAGCACAGATTATAGCTCACATTATTGTGCAGATTATAGCACAAATTATAGTGAACAGATTATATCATAGATTATAGAACACAGATTATATCATAAATTATAGCACAGATTAAAGCACAGATTATAGCACAGATTATAGCACGGATTATAGCACGGATTATAGCACGGATTATAGCACAGATTATAGCACAGAGTATAGCACAAAGTATAGCACAGATTATAGCACAGAGTATAGCACAGATTATAGCCCAGATTATAGCACAGATTATAGCACAGAGTATAGCACAGATTATAGCACAGATTATAGCACAGATTATATCACAGATTATATCATAGATTACGGCACAGATTATAGCACAGATTATAGCACAGATTATATCACAGATTATAGCACAGATTATAGCACAGATTATAGCACAGATTACAGCACAGATTATAGCACAGATTATATCACAGATTATATCATAGATTATAGCACAGATTATAGCACAGATTATATCATAGATTATATCACAGATTACAGCACAGATTATATCACAGATTATAGCCCAGATTATATCAAAGATTATAGCACATATTATATCACAGATTATAGCCCAGATTATAGCACAGAGTATAGCACAGATTATAGCTCATATTATCGTGCAGATTATAGCACAGATTGTATCATAGATTATATCATAGATTATAGCACAGATTATAGCACAGATTATATCACAGATTATATCCCAGATTATATAATAGATCATACCACAGAGTATAGCACAGATTACAAAACAAAAGCATGTGTCGTTCCTAATATTGAACCAATAACAGTTTTTCGGCTGAATGAATCTTTGGCCTCTGTCACATTTTAGATCCATTTTTTCAGACAGAAAAGGACAAAATGGAGGCTCAACAAATTATCTTTCAGCCCAAAACCCAAAGTTGTGTCTCACATGTTGTGGTCTGATTCTTCCCAAAATGATTCTCAAGACAACAACAATCTGTATGATCATGTACTATATCTCTATCATGTCTTATTTATTTTAATTATACAGCGTTATACAAGATTTGGATTTAAATCTGAAGAACGTAATCTCACTTTCCTCTTGTTCCTACAAACTATGGGATGAACAAAGCATCTCATATTTATGATTCTCTTCTGTGTTTACGGGGTAAGATCAAAGTTTTTTTTTACTGAAATGTTAGATAAGCTTCACCTTCAGCTCCTGCCTCTCCTGTCCCTGGATTATGGTCTGGACTATGGTCTGGATTATGGTCTGAACTATGGTCTGGATTATGGTCTGAACTATGGTCTGGATTATGGTCTGGACTATGGTCTGGATTATGGTCTGGATTATGGCCTGGACTATGGTCTGGATTTTGGTCTGGATTATGGTCTGGATTATGGTCTGGATTATGGCCTGGACTATGGTCTGGATTTTGGTCTGGATTATGGTCTGGACTATGGTCTGGATTATGGTCTGGATTTTGGTCTGGACTATGGTCTGGACTATGGTCTGGATTATGGTCTGGACTATGGTCTGGATTTTGGTCTGGATTATGGTCTGGACTCTGGTCTGGATTTTGGTCTGGACTATGGTCTGGACTATGGTCTGGACTATGATCTGGATTATGGTCTGGATTATGGTCTGGATTATGGTCTGGACTATGGTCTGGACTATGGTCTGGACTATGGTCTGGATTATGGTCTGAACTATGGTCTGGATTATGGCCTGGACTATGGTCTGAACTATGGTCTGGATTATGGCCTGGACTATGGTCTGGATTATGGTCTGGATTATGGTCTGGATTATGGTCTGGATTATGGTCTGGATTATGGTCTGGATTATGGTCTGGACTATGGTCTGGACTATGGCCTGGACTATGGTCTGGATTATGGTCTGAACTATGGTCTGGATTATGGCCTGGACTATGGTCTGGATTATGGTCTGGATTATGGTCTGGACTATGGTCTGGACTATGGTCTGGACTATGGTCTGGACTATGGTCTGGACTATGGTCTGGATTATGGTCTGAACTATGGTCTGGATTATGGTCTGGATTATGGTCTGGATTATGGTCTGGATTATGGTCTGGACTATGGTCTGGATTATGGTCTGGATTATGGTCTGGATTATGGTCTGGATTATGGTCTGGACTATGGTCTGGACTATGGTCTGGATTATGGTCTGGATTATGGCCTGGACTATGGTCTGGACTATGGTCTGGATTATGGTCTGAACTATGGTCTGGATTATGGCCTGGACTATGGTCTGGACTATGGTCTGGACTATGGTCTGGACTATGGTCTGGATTATGGCCTGGACTATGGTCTGGATTATGGTCTGGATTATGGTCTGGATTATGGCCTGGACTATGGTCTGGACTATGGTCTGGACTATGGTCTGGATTATGGTCTGAACTATGGTCTGGATTATGGTCTGGATTATGGTCTGAACTATGGTCTGGATTATGGCCTGGACTATGGTCTGGATTATGGTCTGGATTATGGTCTGGATTATGGCCTGGACTATGGTCTGGACTATGGTCTGGATTATGGTCTGGATTATGGCCTGGACTATGGCCTGGACTATGGTCTGAACTATGGTCTGGATTATGGCCTGGACTATGGTCTGGATTATGGTCTGGATTATGGTCTGAACTATGGTCTGGATTATGGCCTGGACTATGGTCTGGATTATGGTCTGGATTATGGTCTGGATTATGGCCTGGACTATGGTCTGGACTATGGTCTGGATTATGGTCTGGATTATGGTCTGAACTATGGTCTGGATTATGGCCTGGACTATGGTCTGGATTATGGTCTGGATTATGGCCTGGACTATGGTCTGGATTATGGTCTGGACTATGGTCTGGATTATGGTCTGGACTATGGTCTGGATTATGGCCTGGACTATGGTCTGGACTATGGTCTGGACTATGGTCTGGATTATGGTCTGGATTATGGCCTGGACTATGGTCTGGACTATGGTCTGGACTATGGTCTGGACTATGGTCTGGATTATGGTCTGAACTATGGTCTGGACTATGGTCTGGACTATGGTCTGGACTATGGTCTGGACTATGGTCTGGACTATGGTCTGGGTGCCCTGGTTCCCCTGGTGCCCGGGTCTGACCGCTCTCCTCTGGTTGCAGCTCAGAGATCGGCTCAGGAGCTGCCGCTGGTCGATAAGCAGAGTCTGGAGACGTGTCCCGCCTCCGGAGGACTCCCCCTGGTCCTAGAGGGACACAACTTCCAGCTCGACTCCAAGGTCATGTTTGTGGAGAAGTCCCAAGGTACAACACAGCTATGTGTGTGTGCAATACTGTGTGTGTGTGTGCAATACTGTGTATGTGTGCAATACTGTGTGTGTGTGTGTGCAGAACTCTGTTTGTGTGTGTGTGTGTGTGCGCGCACAATACTGTGTGTGCAGAACTGTGTGTGTGTGCTATACTGTGTGTGCAGAACTCTGTATGTGTGTGTGCAATACTGTGTGTGTGTGTGCAATACTGTGTGTGTGTGTGTGTGTGTGTGCAATACTGTGTGTGTGTGTGCAGAACTCTGTTTGTGTGTGTGTGTGCGCGCGCACAATACTGTGTGTGAGTGTGTGTGCTATATTGTGGATAAGATTAGACGGATTAAATGTCTTGAGCTCATTTTATTTTTTATTTTTGAGTTTTTGCCTTGAGAATTGTGTGTGAATGGTTGGTGGTGGTGGGAGGGGCCGATGGCACAGACTGATTGCCTCACTTCTGTCAGTGTGCCCCAGGGCAGCTGTGGCTACAGTAGCTTATCTCTGTGTGAGTGATATGTTATCATTATTATAATTATTAAAGCTCTGTGAACAAATCCGACCACATTATGTTCTTGTAAGAAAGAGACCAGAGAGTCACTGACGCTGTGGGCTGAGAGCTGATTGGCTGAGAGCTGATTGGCTGAGAGCTGATTGGCTGAGAGAGGCTGGTACATGCACCAATACATGCATGTAGAAACTAGTGATGGAATCAGACTGTTGTGGAAGACTGTAGAAATGTAGGTTCTTAGTTCTTCTGCACCTACCATTAACTAAGTTACTATTGTACTAAGTTACTATTGTACTAAGTTACTATTGTACTAAGTTACTATTGTACTAAGTTACTATTGTATTAAGTTACTATTGTACTAAGTTACTATTGTACTAAGTTACTATTGTACTAAGTTACTATTGTACTAAGTTACTATTGTACTAAGTTACTATTGTACTAAGTTACTATTGTATTAAGTTACTATTGTACCAGTGGCGGAGCCAGAGGGGTAGCCAGGGTGGCCACTGCCACCTCTAAAAATATCCTTGCCACCCCCAGTGCCCCCCTCGGAAGACGGCAATGTAATAATGTTAATCTTGAGAATCTTCCGCACTTTTTCCGGCAAAAGCTAAAAATTCCCACGGTTTCCCCCGTCTGTGAACGCACCTTGACTCCGTGTGGAGCCGGTGCTGGATGCTAATGTTTTGGGTTGTTGGACTCAGGTGTGCCCAAGTCGTGATGAAAACAAAGAGGTAAGTTAGCGACGCAGAGCCGTTTACATTTGACACAAAGTATAGACACACGTACTGCAGCGCATTACTTGTTCAGTTTGTAGAACTTTTAGTGTGTGTATGTGTGTGTGCGTGTGCGTGCCTGTATGCGCGCCTGTGTGCGTGTGTCAGCGTGCCATTGTGTCTGCGTGTGTGTGCGTGCCTGTGTGTGCCAGTGTGGGTCTGCGTGCCTGTGCGCGTGTGTGCGTGCCTGTGTGTGTGTGCGTGCCTGTGTGCGTGCGGGGTGCATGCGTGTTTATTTTCCATTATTAATTGCCCATCGTATCATCGCCCTCTTCCCTTTAGTGTAAACATGAAAAGAAAAAGTTAGGAAAAGGCCTGTAGATCAGGATGATGAAACCTGAAGGTCAGACTCGGAGGCAGTATGTTTTAAGATGATGAGGAATTTGTTGTGTTGTATTAAAATATAGCTTATATAATTGAGTTTCAGAGAATGAGAGGGTGTCGCAGACAGGTGCAGGATTGTCTATTGGCAGAAGGCGTTTTTTCACACACAAAAAAGAAACAAAATAGCTAAGATTTTGGATGATGTGCAGTCGCTTGACCCCAAAACGGGGAACGTTTGCAAAGTGTTTCATGAGCTTTTTTTTGAGGCTTGCAAAGATCTTTTTAATACCTGTCAGTACTGCGTCTTGTGAAATAAGTTTCTCTGTCCTAAAACTTATTAAAAACCATCTCAGAACGACCATGGCAGATGATTGAGTCATCTTGGTATCCTCAGTGTATCCTCAGTGTAGGGTAAAGGAGGGCTCAGCGCTGAATATGGATGAGTTTGTCAACATCTTTGCTGCTTTACACCAGAACCGCAGGAATTTGCTAAATTTGTTAAAAGAAAAAATGTAATGCAATGTTTGAATGATGTTATTTTGCACTTTTTTTGTTCAGACTACTATTTAAATACACTTTTTTTTTTGCTTTGTAGTTTCCAAGTGCATGGGGCGACAGTAGCTCAGTTGGTAGAGCATTGGCCTTATGGCCAGAAGGTTGTGGGTTCAATTCCCACCTCTGCACCTTCTCCACCGACTCCCACTGATGACTGCTGTCGTTGTGTCCTTGGGCAAGACACTTAACCCCACTTTGCCCAAAGCCCCCACTGAAAGATCAAGGCTATGCTCACACTCAGAGAGCAGCCGTCCTCCTGTGGACTCACCACCTGCAGAGGGTCAGTGAGGGGCTGGTGCTATGAGACTTGGGTGGCATCTCTGACTGCCACCCCCCTGACCCAGAAATGGATTAAAGGGTAGAAAATGGATGGATGGATGGATGGAGTTTCCAAGTGTGCTCTCAGTTCACTTTATATTAAAAATAATGACAAGATTAAGATTAAAATGTATCGTTTAGCCAGTTTTTGTGCGAAATAAAATTTCGGAATAGTATAAATGTGGACCCCTCAAAAAAACCCTTGCCACCCCCTGGCCACCCTCTGTTTAAAAGTCTGGCTCCGCCACTGTATTGTACTAAGTTACTATTGTACTGAGTTACTATTGTACTGAGTTACTATTGTACTGAGTTACTATTGTACTGAGTTACTATTGTCTGGTTATTAGACTTCAGAGCCATTTGAATTCATCTTTGGTTGTGTTTATTTGGAGACATCCCTGGCCTTTCCTCTCCCTCCCTCTCTCTCCCTCCCCTCTCCCTCCCCTCTCCCTCCCCCCTCTCCCTCCCCCCTCTCCCCTCCCTCCCTCCCCTCCCTCCCTCTCTCCCACATGTGCCCCACATTAATGCACACTGCTGTATTTTTACACCAGTCACATTTGCACCAAGTTTCCATTTGTCCGTCTGAGCCCGAGCCCAACGACAGGTTTTTCTACATTTTTTTCTCTTCTTTTTGAGAGTTTCTGGCTCCTGCTCCAGATGTTGGTTAAAACAGAGGTTTACAAACAGTCATTTCACTGATTAGCCTCATCAGGAACCACAGCAGGAACCACAGCAGGAACCACAGCAGGAACCACAGCGAGAACCACAGCAGGGACCACAGCAGAAACCACAGCAGGGACCACAGCAGGAACCACAGCAGGAACCACAGCAGGAACCACAGCAGGGACCGCAGCGAGAACCACAGCAGGAACCACAGCAGGAACCACAGCAAGAACCAGAGCAGGAACCACAGCAGGAACCACAGCAGGAACCACAGCAGGAACCACAGCGAGAACCACAGCAGGGACCACAGCAGAAACCACCTCAGGGACCACAGCAGGAACCACAGCAGGAACCACAGCAGGAACCACATCAGGAACCACAGCAGGAACCACAGCGGGAACCACAGCAGGAACCACAGCGAGAACCACAGCAGGAACCACAGCGAGAACCACAGCAGGAACCACAGCGAGAACCACAGCAGGAACCACAGCGAGAACCACAGCAGGAACCACAGCAGGAACCACAGCGAGAACCACAGCAGGAACCACAGCAGGTACCACAGCAGGAACCACAGCGGGAACCACAGCAGGAACCACAGCAGGAACCACAGCAGGAACCACAGCAGGAACCACAGCGGGAACCACAGCAGGGACCACAGCAGAAACCACAGCAGGGACCACAGCAGGAACCACAGCAGGAACCACAGCAGGAACCACATCAGGAACCACAGCAGGAACCACAGCGGGAACCACAGCAGGAACCACAGCGAGAACCACAGCAGGAACCACAGCGAGAACCACACCAGGAACCACAGCAGGAACCACAGCGAGAACCACAGCAGGAACCACAGCGAGAACCACAGCAGGAACCACAGCAGGAACCACAGCGAGAACCACAGCAGGAACCACAGCAGGTACCACAGCGAGAACCACAGCAGGAACCACAGCAGGTACCACAGCAGGAACCACAGCGGGAACCACAGCAGGAACCACAGCAGGAACCACAGCGAGAACCACAGCAGGGACCACAGCAGAAACCACAGCAGGGACCACAGCAGGAACCAGGAACCACAGCAGGAACCACAGCAGGAACCACAGCGAGAACCACAGCAGGAACCACATCAGGAACCACAACAGGAACCACAGCAGGAACCACAGCAGGAACCACAACAGGAACCACAGCAGGAACCACAGCGGGAACCACAGCAGGAACCACAGCAGGAACCACAGCGAGAACCACAGCAGGAACCACAGCAGGAACCACATCAGGGACCACAGCAGGTACCACAGCAGGAACCACAGCGGGAACCACAGCAGGAACCACAGCAGGGACCACAGCAGGAACCACAGCAGGGACCACAGCAGGAACCACAGCAGCAGATGCAGTTTGGTCCAGATCCATCACACAAGCTTCAATTACACGCCTTTCACCGGTGGAAAAGAGGTGTTCTGCTCTGGTCCAGGTCCTGGTCCAGGTCCTGGTCCAGGTCCTGGTCCAGAGCAGAACACATAACCCTAACTAACTAAACTAGTCTGGCCGAGACTAACCCTATAGTCTCAGTCCTATTTCGTCTGCTCTCTCCTGCTCTCTCCTTCTCTCTTCTTCTCTCTCCTTCTCTCTCCTGCTCTCTCCTTCTCTCTTCTTCTCTCTTTTTCTCTCTCCTTCTCTCTTCTTCTCTCTTTTTCTCTCTCCTTCTCTCTCCTTCTCTCTCCTTCTCTCTCCTTCTCTCTTCTTCTCTCTCCTTCTCTCTTCTTCTCTCTTTTTCTCTCTCCTTCTCTCTCCTTCTCTCTCCTTCTCTCTCCTTCTCTCTTCTTCTCTCTCCTTCTCTCTCCTTCTCTCTCCTTCTCTCTTCTTCTCTCTTTTTCTCTCTCCTTCTCTCTCCTTCTCTCTTCTTCTCTCTCCTTCTCTCTCCTTCTCTCTTCTTCTCTCTTTTTCTCTCTCCTTCTCTCTCCTTCTCTCTCCTTCTCTCTTCTTCTCTCTTCTTCTCTCTTCTTCTCGGCTAATGCTGTATCACCGGCTCTTCTCACACATTACCTTCCACTCTGATCCTTTAACATTACCTCCACTTTACAGATCAATAAAAGTCAAATATCTGACACATAAACAGCACAAACACATCAGTCTTTAGGACCCAGCTCCTGCAGTGGTTTTTCAAAGGGGTTTCCCACGTTTTGGCATCGGCCGCAGATTCCTAGGCTGTCCCTGCATGGAAACACACACATACACACACACACACAGACACACACACATATACACACTCATGTACACACACACACAGATACACACAAACACATACACACACACACAGACACACACACACATATACACACTTCCTGGGCTGTCCGTGCATGGAAACACACACATACACACACACACATACACACAGACACACACACATATACACACTCATGTACACACACACACACATACACACACACACAGACACACACACATATACAGACACACACAGACACATATACACACTCATTTACACTCACACACATACACACACATGTACACACACACACACACTCACACCACACTCTATCGTCTCTGCATCTTGCTCTCTGTGGGTTACAATACACTTCTTGCAGCTGCATAATAGAAATAGCCTCAGAGAAATGATCTCTCCGACTCCAGTGTTGTTTTGATCCAGAGAGATCACAGAGAGATCACAGAGATTACAGAGATCACTGAGAGATCACTGAGATCACTGAGAGATCACAGAGAGATCACAGAGATCACAGAGATTGCAGAGAGATCGCAGAGATCACAGAGAGATCACAGAGAGATCGCAGAGAGATCACTGAGATCACTGAGATCACTGAGAGATCACAGAGAGATCGCAGGAGATCACAGAGATCAGAGAGATCACAGAGAGATCGCAGAGAGATCACAGAGATCACAGAGAGATCACAGAGATCACAGAGAGATCACAGAGAGATCGCAGAGAGATCGCAGAGAGATCGCAGAGAGATCACAGAGATCACAGAGAGATCGCAGAGAGATCGCAGAGAGATCACTGAGAGATCGCAGAGAGATTGCAGAGAGATCACTGAGAGATCGCAGAGAGATCACAGAGATCGCAGAGAGTAAGTAAGTAGTAAGTAAGTTTTTATTTATATACCGCCTTTTCACTGCAGATATGAGTCTCAAAGCGGTTTACAATTGTTAATTATGGGCATTTGTCTCTCACTCCACACAGAGATGGGAGCGGGGCCAGTACAGGAGGCACATGCTAGAACTATTGGACATATTTTTAGTGGTAGGGGAAACCGGAGTACCCGGAGGAAACCTACGCAGACACAGGGAGAACATGCAAACTCCACTCAGAAAGGCCCTGGTCCGACCGGGATTCGAACCCAGGACCTTCTTGCTGAGAGGCGAGAGTGCTATCCACTCAGCCACCGTGCCGCAGATCGCAGAGAGATCACAGAGATCGCAGAGAGATCGCAGAGAGATCACAGAGATCACAGAGAGATCGCAGAGATCACAGAGAGATCGCAGAGAGATCACAGAGAGATCGCAGAGAGATCGCAGAGATCACAGAAAGATCACAGAGATCGCAGAGAGATCACAGAGAGATCACAGAGATCACAGAGAGATCACAGAGAGATCACTGAGATCACTGAGATCACTGAGAGATCACTGAGAGATCACTGAGAGATCACTGAGAGATCGCAGAGAGATCACTGAGATCACTGAGAGATCACTGAGAGATCGCAGAGAGATCACTGAGAGATCACTGAGAGATCGCAGAGAGATCACAGAGATCACAGAGAGATCGCAGAGATCACAGAGAGATCGCAGAGAGATTGCAGAGAGATCACAGAGAGATCGCAGAGAGATCGCAGAGATCACAGAGAGATCACAGAGATCGCAGAGAGATCACAGAGAGATCACAGAGATCGCAGAGAGATCACAGAGAGATCACTGAGATCACTGAGATCACTGAGAGATCACACTGAGAGATCACTGAGAGATCGCAGAGAGATCACAGAGATCACAGAGAGATCGCAGAGATCACAGAGAGATCGCAGAGAGATTGCAGAGAGATCACAGAGAGATTGCAGAGAGATCGCAGAGATCACAGAGAGATCACAGAGATCGCAGAGAGATCACAGAGAGATCACAGAGATCGCAGAGAGATCACAGAGAGATCACTGAGATCACTGAGATCACTGAGAGATCACTGAGAGATCGCAGAGAGATCACTGAGATCACTGAGAGATCACTGAGAGATCGCAGAGAGATCACTGAGAGGTGAAAACATGTGAACAATGTACTGGGATATTACAGCTTCCCTCTGACTCATCATATTTCATATACACACACACACAATCATACTGTAACGACACACACACACACACACAATCATACTCAAGCCCCGGCGATCCAAGATGGCGGCGTATTCAAACGGTCGCTGACATATTAAAGCGGAACTCGCAAAGATCTCTGGGAAACTCGCCTGTATTTGGGCATCGTCTGGTCCTCCCGGTTCTGTGCAGTGGACGAGCTCCCACGATGCATTGCGCCAAATAAGCGTGTGTGGCACGTGCACAGAGGGGCTCACGCACGTGCACAGAGGGGCTCGGCCGCGCTCTGACCAATCAGAGCAGTTCATCAGAGCGGGAGTTAGAGCCAGAGCCAGAGGAGTAGAGTTTGTGGCACTAAAGTGTGGATTTAAACAAAACCGAAGGATTTAAGAAGAAAAAAAAGTTCAGGATGACAAGGGACACTAACATCCACACAAAATCTGACCTTTATCAAAGCTGTAGGTTTTCTGTCAGGTTCTCTGTCAGGTTCTCTGTCAACTGAGGACGAGCTGTTTTAGGCTATATCCACACGAAGACAAAACGCTTATAATTTCAGAAACTTTTTCTGTAAACACGGAGTTAGCTCAGTAAATGTGTGCGTCCATATGAATGTAGTCAATACGCCTGAAAACGCTGTGAAACTATGCCAGACCTGTTGGTGGCGCTGTGACGCAATGACGGGATCAAGCCCAAACTTCCGTGACGGGAACTGGGCATGTGCAGAATGTTGTAAACAGACAACATGGCGAGTGGGCGAGCTGGTACTACATTAGTATGGACGGACGATGAGGTTGAACTGTTGCTTCGGGTCGCACTGGATTACAAAACCAACAAGCTACATTGTTGTTGTCATTATTTTCTGAGTGCGGCGCATGCGTGCTTTAACAAGAGGCGGGGCGATGACGCAAGCGTCTCAGATACATTGCGGAGAGGCAGTAACCACGGAGCGGCATATACGGAGTTTTGAAATCTTTCCACTCTGGGACCTGGTTTCAAAAATGTTCGTTTACACCCCCCCAAAACGCCGGCCTCGTATGGACGATACAATGGATTGATAAAGTATTTTTGCGTTTAGGCCTGAGCTTGACTTCGTGTGGACAGGGCCTTAGTTTACATTGAGTTCTATGGGGAACATTTCTGGGTAGCTCACGTGAATTTAGTCTGGTTTAGTCTGGTTTAGTCTGCAGTACCGCGAGATTCATGGTCCATGGTAATACTCTGTCCAGTTATTATCATAGATCCATGAGTACCGCTCACATCAGTTTTTCTCCAGTATCCAACACTACATCATTCTTCTTTTCCACTGTTTCTAAAACCACTGCTTCTGTTCTGAGAAAGATCGGCCTCCACTCTTTAATCCGTCTTTGATTAAGTGTTCAGTGTTAGCGTGTTCAGTGTTAGCGTGTTCAGTGTGAGCGTGTTCAGTGTGAGCGTTTTCAGTGTTAGCGTGTTCAGTGTTAGCGTGTTCAGTGTGAGCGTGTTCAGTGTGAGCGTTTTCAGTGTTAGCGTGTTCAGTGTTAGCGTGTTCAGTGTGAGCGTGTTCAGTGTGAGTGTGTTCAGTGTGAGCGTGTTCAGTGTGAGCGTGTTCAGTGTGAGCGTTTTCAGTGTTAGCGTGTTCAGTGTTAGCGTGTTCAGTGTTAGCGTGTTCAGTGTGAGCGTGTTCAGTGTTAGCGTGTTCAGTGTGAGCGTGTTCAGTGTGAGCGTTTTCAGTGTTAGCGTGTTCAGTGTTAGCGTGTTCAGTGTTAGCGTGTTCAGTGTGAGCGTGTTCAGTGTGAGTGTGTTCAGTGTGAGCGTGTTCAGTGTGAGCGTGTTCAGTGTGAGCGTGTTCAGTGTGAGCGTGTTCAGTGTGAGCGTGTTCAGTGTTAGCGTGTTCAGTGTGAGCGTGTTCAGTGTGAGCGTGTTCAGTGTTAGCGTGTTCAGTGTGAGCGTGTTCAGTGTTAGCGTGTTTAGTGTGAGCGTGTTCAGTGTGAGCGTGTTCAGTGTGAGCGTGTTCAGTGTTAGCGTGTTCAGTGTTAGCGTGTTTAGTGTGAGCGTGTTCAGTGTGAGCGTGTTCAGTGTGAGCGTGTTCAGTGTGAGTGTTTTCAGTGTTAGCGTGTTCAGTGTTAGCGTGTTCAGTGTGAGTGTTTTCAGTGTTAGCGTGTTCAGTGTTAGCGTGTTCAGTGTTAGCGTGTTCAGTGTTAGCGTGTTCAGTGTTAGCGTGTTTAGTGTGAGCGTGTTCAGTGTGAGCGTGTTCAGTGTGAGCGTGTTCAGTGTGAGCGTGTTCAGTGTTAGCGTGTTCAGTGTTAGCGTGTTCAGTGTTAGCGTGTTCAGTGTGAGCGTGTTCAGTGTGAGTGTGTTCAGTGTGAGCGTGTTCAGTGTTAGCGTGTTCAGTGTGAGCGTGTTCAGTGTGAGCGTTTTCAGTGTTAGCGTGTTCAGTGTTAGCGTGTTCAGTGTTAGCGTGTTCAGTGTGAGCGTGTTCGGTGTGAGTGTGTTCAGTGTGAGCGTGTTCAGTGTGAGCGTGTTCAGTGTGAGCGTTTTCAGTGTTAGCGTGTTCAGTGTTAGCGTGTTCAGTGTTAGCGTGTTCAGTGTTAGCATGTTCAGTGTTAGCGTGTTCAGTGTTAGCGTGTTCAGTGTTAGCGTGTTTAGTGTGAGCGTGTTCAGTGTGAGCGTGTTCAGTGTGAGCGTGTTCAGTGTGAGCGTGTTCAGTGTTAGCGTGTTCAGTGTGAGCGTGTTCAATGTGAGCGTGTTCAGTGTTAGCGTGTTCAGTGTGAGCGTGTTCAGTGTGAGCGTGTTCAGTGTTAGCGTGTTCAGTGTGAGCGTGTTCAGTGTGAGCGTTTTCAGTGTTAGCGTGTTCAGTGTTAGCGTGTTCAGTGTTAGCGTGTTCAGTGTGAGGCGTGTTCGGTGTGAGTGTGTTCAGTGTGAGCGTGTTCAGTGTGAGCGTGTTCAGTGTGAGCGTGTTCAGTGTGAGCGTGTTCAGTGTGAGCGTGTTCAATGTGAGCGTGTTCAGTGTTAGCGTGTTCAGTGTGAGCGTGTTCAGTGTGAGCGTGTTCAGTGTGAGCGTGTTCAGTGTGAGCGTGTTCGGTGTTAGCGTCTTCAGTGTGAGCGTGTTCAGTGTGAGCGTGTTCAGTGTGAGCGTGTTCAGTGTGAGCGTGTTCAGTGTGAGCGTGTTCAGTGTTAGCGTGTTCAGCGTGAGCGTGTTCAGTGTTAGCGTGTTCGGTGTGAGCGTGTTCGGTGTGAGCGTGTTCAGTGTGAGCGTGTTCAGTGTAAGCGTGTTCAGTGTGAGCGTGTTCAGTGTTAGCGTGTTCAGCGTGAGCGTGTTCAGTGTTAGCGTGTTCGGTGTTAGCGTGTTCAGTGTTAGCGTTTTCAGTGTTAGCGTGTTCAGTGTGAGCGTGTTCAGTGTGAGCGTGTTCACCTTGAGCGTGTTCAGTGTGAGCGTGTTCAGTGTCAGCGTGGTCAGTGTTAGCGTGTTCACTGTTGGCGTGTTCAGTGTTAGCGTGTTCACTGTTGGCGTGTTCAGTGTTAGCGTGTTCACTGTTGGCGTGTTCAGTGTCAGCGTGGTCAGTGTTAGCGTGTTCACTGTTGGCGTGTTCAGTGTTAGCGTGTTCACTGTTGGCGTGTTCAGTGTTAGCGTGTTCACTGTTGGCGTGTTCAGTGTTAGCGTGTTCACTGTTGGCGTGTTCAGTGTCAGCGTGGTCAGTGTTAGCGTGTTCACTGTTGGCGTGTTCAGTGTTAGCGTGTTCAGTGTTAGCGTGTTCAGTGTTAGCGTGTTCACTGTTGGCGTGTTCAGTGAGTGAGTGTGGGCGGTGGAAGGATTGCCTCAAACTTCTGCCAAAATCCACGGTTTGTTTGGGTTCTCGTCCCGCTCCTATAATTGTGTTTCCAGCTCCTCTGTTTGAAAACTTCCAAATGGTTTCATGTTTTTCAGAATGGACTAAACCCTTCCGGCAACTTTCCGATGTATTTATTTACTTTTTGATGATGGGGCTAGTGGGTTAGCGTAGCGTGTTTTCCGAGGGATTCCACAGAGAAAAAAGTAAAGTAAAAGTGACAGAGAAAATGCCGAGAGCGCTGGGAGCTGATGTGCTGCGGCTCAAACACTGATGCTAATTAGCTTAAATGCTTCACAAAAGAACACTGTTTAAAAGAGAGGGAGAAACGCTAGTCCCGCGCACAGACTGTGTATAAGGACCAGAGCTAACGTCGCTATAGTGTTAGCCTGATGACGATTTGAATTGACTTTGGTTTTAATAATTCTTACACACTTTCTGTTAAAAACTTAAATCCCCTTCTCAAATACTGTGTTTATCTGCTGTATAAATAATTCAACTGAAATTTCTGATCAAAACCACCAATGATTTATGAAGGAAAATCATAAAAAACGTTTGCACACCACTGTAAGCTAGCTGGTATGGAGGCCCGTTTCCGCCATGTAAAAAAAAAAAAAGCATACAGAAAGTCAAAATTGTCTGGAACGGTCTCTGGACGTCCTTCACCTGCAGATTATGAAGATATTGCCGACAGCGACCGCTGCATCCTTGAAGGAGCCAGAAATAATGTTGTTTGACTTAAACTTTCCTGTTTAAGCCCCAGACCGCGGTCGTAGGACGCAGGAGGAGCTGTCTGTTTATTTATTTATGTTAAATTCAATTTACATATATACAACATTTAAATCAAACGACTTCTTATTTCGACATAGTAACAAATAATGTGAGCAATATGTTTTTATAATAAATCAAAGGAAAATGAGCCATCGAGACATTCCAATCCAATCTGCAGTACCCCACTCTGACCAGACGATGGCGCTGAGAGGATCCACACGGAGCGAGTCTTTCCACGGCTGAAATGATGCGCTTTCTACGTGTTGAGTACGGGGTTTTATTCATGCATCTGTAATGGGTTTAAGTCCCTTTTCAAAGACCCTCACTGTTATCTGCAGAGTTATTTCTCCGGATTGTTGCTAAAAGAGCCGTGGGCTTTATTTTGTCACAATAAAATAATCAGACAAAGTACTTATTCCCTGTATGTCTCTGTGTTCTTGCTCATACGTCTGTGGTTCACCTGCCTCTGTCTGTGGTTCAGCTGCCTCTGTCTGTGGTTCTGCCTCTGTCTGTGGTTCAGCTGCCTCTGTCTGTGGTTCTGCCTCTGTCTGTGGTTCTCCTGCCTCTGTCTGTGGTTCTGCCTCTGTCTGTGGTTCTCCTGCCTCTGTCTGTGGTTCTCCTTCCTCTGTCTGTGGTTCAGCTGCCTCTGTCTGTGGTTCTGCCTCTGTCTGTGGTTCAGCTGCCTCTGTCTGTGGTTCTCCTCTGTCTGTGGTTCTCCTGCCTCTGTCTGTGGTTCTGCCTCTGTCTGTGGTTCTCCTGCCTCTGTCTGTGGTTCTCCTTCCTCTGTCTGTGGTTCAGCTGCCTCTGTCTGTGGTTCTGCCTCTGTCTGTGGTTCTCCTGCCTCTGTCTGTGGTTCAGCTGCCTCTGTCTGTGGTTCTGCCTCTGTCTGTGGTTCTCCTGCCTCTGTCTGTGGTTCTCCTGCCTCTGTCTGTGGTTCTCCTGCCTCTGTCTGTGGTTCTCCTGCCTCTGTCTGTGGTTCTCCTTCCTCTGTCTGTGGTTCTCCTGCCTCTGTCTGTGGTTCTCCTGCCTCTGTCTGTGGTTCTCCTGCCTCTGTCTGTGGTTCTCCTGCCTCTGTCTGTGGTTCTGCCTCTGTCTGTGGTTCTCCTGCCTCTGTCTGTGGTTCTCCTCTGTCTGTGGTTCTCCTGCCTCTGTCTGTGGTTCTGCCTCTGTCTGTGGTTCTCCTGCCTCTGTCTGTGGTTCTCTTGCCTCTGTCTGTGGTTCTCCTGCCTCTGTCTGTGGTTCTCCTGCCTCTGTCTGTGGTTCTCCTGCCTCTGTCTGTGGTTCTCTTGCCTCTGTCTGTGGTTCTCCTGCCTCTGTCTGTGGTTCTCCTGCCTCTGTCTGTGGTTCTCCTGCCTCTGTCTGTGGTTCTCCTGCCTCTGTCTGTGGTTCAGCTGCCTCTGTCTGTGGTTCTGCCTCTGTCTGTGGTTCTCCTGCCTCTGTCTGTGGTTCTCCTGCCTCTGTCTGTGGTTCTCCTGCCTCTGTCTGTGGTTCTCCTGCCTCTGTCTGTGGTTCTCCTTCCTCTGTCTGTGGTTCTCCTGCCTCTGTCTGTGGTTCTCCTGCCTCTGTCTGTGGTTCTCCTTCCTCTGTCTGTGGTTCTCCTGCCTCTGTCTGTGGTTCTCCTGCCTCTGTCTGTGGTTCTCTTGCCTCTGTCTGTGGTTCTCCTGCCTCTGTCTGTGGTTCTCCTGCCTCTGTCTGTGGTTCTCCTGCCTCTGTCTGTGGTTCTCCTGCCTCTGTCTGTGGTTCTCCTGCCTCATAGCCGTGATACTGACCAGATGTCACCAGTTGATGCTCAATGACTTTGAACAGCCGCATGTGTTTTATTATTAATCTTCCACAGTCCGTTTAGGATAAACTAAATAGAGGCTTCTGAAGCGGATTCTAATCATAAACGGAGAGACCGTTTGCATTTTAACGCGATTACTGCCACAACATTATTGCTGCTACTTCATGGATGTGGTCACTGTCTGTAGGAAATATCTTCACATAATCTGCAGGTAGAGGATGACCCATGGTCATAGATCTATAACAGGGATGACCCATGGTCATGGATCTATAACAGGGATGACCCATGGTCATGGATCTATAACAGGGAGGACCCATGGTCATGGATCTATAACAGGGAGGACCCATGGTCATGGATCTATAACAGGGAGGACCCATGGTCATGGATCTATAACAGGGAGGACCCATGGTCATGGATCTATAACGGGAGGACCCATGGTCATGGATCTATAACAGGGAGGACCCATGGTCATGGATCTATAACAGGGAGGACCCATGGTCATGGATCTATAACAGGGAGGACCCATGGTCATGGATCTATAACAGGGAGGACCCATGGTCATGGATCTATAACAGGGAGGACCCATGGTCATGGATCTATAACAGGGAGGACCCATGGTCATGGATCTATAAACAGGGAGGACCCATGGTCATGGATCTATAACAGGGAGGACCCATGGTCATGGATCTATAACAGGGAGGACCCATGGTCATGGATCTATAACAGGGATGACCCATGGTCATGGATCTATAACAGGGATGACCCATGGTCATGGATCTATAACAGGGATGACCCATGGTCATGGATGTTTTCAACTGCGCATGTGCAGTTGAAAACTCGTATAACTCGTTATTTTGACTTTTAAAGTTGCAATTTTGAGTTTTAAAGTCAAAATTTTAACTTTCTGTAGGCTTTTTTTTTTTTTTACATGGCGGAAACGGTCTTCCATAAGCTCGAGCCAATATCCATATATGGGCATTTGTTTTGATGGCGTTAGCGTCGTGCCGTAGCAGGGGCAGATGTAGTTATAAGACGTGTTTAAATGCTGAGGTAACTTCAAAGGAAAACCATTTGCAAACATAGACAATATTTGACACAATTTAAAACACAGTCACACGTTATTTGTGCGAACACAACACAACAATGTTATTATCTTGTATTTTAACATTAGACTGCTCCTGTTTTTAGCCTCATTCTTAATAAAGTCAATAAAGTAGTAGAATAACTTGATGCAGCACTGGTACTAGTCTAAAATAAATGATAAAAAGGACTTGTTATAACTCAGTACATTACTTAAACATAGATTTTTTCAGCTTGTTTTAGTTTTACACTGTTAAAAAAAGGGTCAATGTATTTATTTACCATTTTCTGTCCTTTTTGCTCAAACACATGTTGAGTTGAAATCCTATTCTAAGCCTGCGTTTGGAAATGTTTTATTAGAATTATTCTTGACTGTCTCCGTCTCTGCGTCTCTTTGACGTCTTTCCAAACTGAGCCGACTCCAAAGAGCGACAGACACTGAAGGTTCATTCTGTAAATGAAAGAAAGTTTATCTCGGTCTGGATCAGGTCTGGTCCTGCCGTGGTCCAGGTGTAGCAGTCTGGTCCGGTTTCAGGATTACGTCAGAGGATCAGCCGTAACCCGGGGAAACCGATGCTATCAGAGTCGCTACGGAAACGAGGATTTCCTCTGGATCTGAAACAACACCGAGCGGGAACCGGACTTTTTAGGGAATTTCAAGGACAAAGAAAAATGTTTCCCCTTTTCCTCCAAGAAGCTGGTCCTGGACTGGTGCTAGTGCTAGTTACCATAGCAACACACTGTATACATGCTAGCAGTTAGCATTTAGCCTTTCACCAAACTGTTTTTTACGGGAATTCAAGTTATAGTCACCAGTTTTAGACCAGTTTTAGAAGTATTTAAAGTGAGTAAAGGTAAAAAATAATAATAATAATTCTAAAATATCCGTATAAAACTACTGTACCACTTTACTCTGTTTTTTGTAATTTTTTTCAATTCAATTCAATGTATTTTTGTTTTGCCCTAAATCACAACATGTGGTCAGTTGTGGGGGTCCGGGGGTGATGTGGTCAGTTGTTGGAGTACGGGGGTGATGTGGTCAGTTGTTGGAGTACGGGGGTGATGTGGTCAGTTGTTGGGGTCCGGGGGTGATGTGGTCAGTTGTCGGAGTACGGGGGTGATGTGGTCAGTTGTTGGAGTACGGGGGTGATGTGGTCAGTTGTTGGGGTCCGGGGGTGATGTGGTCAGTTGTTGGGGTACGGGGGTGATGTGGTCAGTTGTTGGGGTACGGGGGTGATGTGGTCAGTTGTTGGAGTACGGGGGTGATGTGGTCAGTTGTGGGGGTCCGGGGGTGATGTGGTCAGTTGTTGGGGTCCGGGGGTGATGTGGTCAGTTGTTGGAGTACGGGGGTGATGTGGTCAGTTGTTGGAGTACGGGGGTGATGTGGTCAGTTGTTGGGGTACGGGGGTGATGTGGTCAGTTGTTGGGGTCCGGGGGTGATGTGGTCAGTTGTTGGAGTACGGGGGTGATGTGATCAGTTGTTGGGGTACGGGGGTGATGTGGTCAGTTGTTGGGGTCCGGGGGTGTAGTGGTCAGTTGTTGGAGTACGGGGGTGATGTGGTCAGTTGTTGGAGTACGGGGGTGATGTGGTCAGTTGTTGGAGTACGGGGGTGATGTGGTCAGTTGTTGGAGTACGGGGGTGATGTGGTCAGTTGTTGGAGTACGGGGGTGATGTGGTCAGTTGTTGGGGTACGGGGGTGATGTGGTCAGTTGTTGGGGTACGGGGGTGATGTGGTCAGTTGTTGGAGTACGGGGGTGATGTGGTCAGTTGTTGGGGTACGGGGGTGATGTGGTCAGTTGTTGGAGTACGGGGGTGATGTGGTCAGTTGTTGGGGTACGGGGGTGATGTGGTCAGTTGTTGGAGTACGGGGGTGATGTGGTCAGTTGTTGGGGTACGGGGGTGATGTGGTCAGTTGTTGGGGTCCGGGGGTGATGTGGTCAGTTGTTGGAGTACGGGGGTGATGTGGTCAGTTGTTGGAGTACGGGGGTGATGTGGTCAGTTGTTGGGGTACGGGGGTGATGTGGTCAGTTGTACTTCCTGCCAGTTGCCAAACCTGGACCCAGAAATACTTACATAACTACCGAACCGATCTCAAACCTCACTTTTTATCTAAAATCCTGGAAAAAACTTATGCTGAGCACTCCGCTGCCACCTGCCGGAAAATAATGTTTGATATAGTCTTTCCAATCAGTATTCTGAGCTCATCATCGCACTGAAACGGCACTAGCAAAGTCACAAATGACTTACTAACTAGCTTGCCGATTAATGGACATGTGTCACGTGTGGTCTACCTGGCCTTAGTGTGCATTTGACACCACTAGAACAGCATTCTCCATGCCAGAGGCTAGACAGGTGACTATAGGTCTTAGAGGAACAGCCCTTGGCTGGTTTAAATCCTATTTATCAGATCGATATCACTTGTCAATGTGAATAAGGACTCGTCGCCTTATTCGGGAGTGGAATTCGGTTGTGACGCGGTTCGGTACTCGGACCGATTCTTTTTACTCTTCCCTGCTGCCCTGAGGAAACATTATTAACAAAGCGATGGAATTAATTTCCACTGTGCTGATGACCACATCAGCCTTTATTGTCGATGAAGCCTAACCAGACAGATTTCAGCTAGAAAAGCTCAGTGCTGATAAAGACCTTAAATTGGTGGCTGACTCCTTAACCTTCCTTCCTTTCCAACCGGAGAAGACCAGAAGTGATCCTCTCGGTCACCGAAGCGCCTGCGTTGACTCCCTCACTAACCAGATGGTTACTCTCGATAATGTCAGTATTATACCCAGTAACACTGTATGCAGAATCTTGGAGTGTTTTTGACAAACTCTCTTCAAGGCTCTTATATAAGCCAAGCAACTAAAACGGCAGTACTTCCACTTACGGACCATCGCTACACATAGGAATTTTCCCTTCTTAAAAGTGACGCGGAAAAATCTTCACGCGGTTGTCACCTCAAGGCTCGACTACTGTAAGCTTTACTGGCAGCGTGCCCTAAAGGCCTCTTTGAGAGCTTCCAGCTCGTTCAGACAAACCGCAGCTCGGATTTAACAGGTACCAAAAGGAGGAGCACATACTCCCGGTGTTTAAAATCACTCCCCTGGTCCCTGTGGAGTGATTTTAAAACACCGGAGTTATGTGCCTCCCTCCTTTTGCGTACTGTTAAGATCCTAAGCTGCTGTTTTCTGAACGAGCTGGCACAGCTCTTCAAGAGGCTAGTAGGGCACGCTGCCAGTAACGGGTACAGTAGTCGAGCCTTGAGGGTGACAACGCGTGACATGAGTTTTTTCCGCGTCTCTTTTTAGGAGGAAATTCCTAATTTTAGCGATTTGTTCCCGTAAGTGGAAGTACGCCGTTGTAGTTGCTTGGCCTTATATAAGCCTTGCAGGAGAGTTCTTGGTCAAAAATGACTCAAGATTCCTCACGTGTTACTGGGGTATAATATGACATTAACGAGAGTATATCCATCTGGTTAGTGAGGGAGTCACGCAGGCGCCTTGGACCGAGTAGGATCGAACTTCTGTTTCTCCCGGGTGAGATCGTAGCAGTTAGAGTCATCCACCATTTTAAGGTCCTTTATGCAGGGGCACCGAGCTTTTCTAGCTGATCTGTCGGGTTCGGCTTCATTCGAAGATAAAGCTGTGCGTCATCTGCAGCAGTGGAAGTCATTCCTGCTTTTTTACTAATGTTTCCCGTGGCCGCATGTAGAGAGTAAAATAGAATCGGTCCGAGTACCGAACCCTGCGGCACACCGACATTCCACTCCAGGAATAAGGCGGTAGAATTCTGATTCACACTTGCCGAAGTGATATCGATTGAATAAATATGATTTAACCAGCCAAGGGCTGTTTCCTCTTAGACCTAATCACATTCTCGCCTCTGCAGTGTAGAATGCTGTGGTCTATTGAGTCAATGCGCAGCACTAAGGTCCAGTAGGACGAGCACTGACACTGTCCCATTATCGGCAGCTAGTAGTAAGTCATTTGTGACTTTGGTACGAGTGCCGTTTTCAGTGCTATGATGCGCTCTGCATCCCTGATTGAAAGACTTCAAACCATATTTTTTTCCTGCAGGTGGCCGCGGAGCTGCTCAGCTATAAGTTTTTCCAGGATTTTAGATATAACAGGAAGGTTTGAGATCGGTCGTAGTTTGTTACGTTATTTCTGGGTCCAGGTTTGTTTTCTCAGAGGGGTTTGATTACGCGGTTTTAAAAGCTTGTGGGCCCATAGCCCAATTGTAGGGATGCCGTTTAATTTATATTTACGATAGGCTCAATTATCAAGGAAGTATCTATGACTTGAAGATCCCATAGTCCGGGGATGCGGTCTAAACATGCAAGTTTGGGGGGGAGGCTTTTGAGGATGTGACCCACAGAGATCACCTACTGCTTGGCTCCACAGCCTGACTTTATAAGGGCCCACTGAATGAGTCTAAGTGGGAAGTCCCCGTCTGGCGCCGTTTCAACTGTCCATACCAACAGCAGGAGCAACCTCCTCAGCTTGTCACGGATGCCGATGTAATTTTATTATTAAAGGACAGTGGAGAAAGTCGACACTGTCAGTGAGCTTGGAATTTTAGGCTTCGATTTGCGCTATGGCAAGTTTGTGAGTTTAGCGACGGTGACCAAACACAAATTACTGTTGTTTTTATTCCGCTACTCATAACGTTGAATAAGTATTGCCGTTCGAGCCCGCGAAGGGCCTTTTGTGGTTTCGGAGACTGCTTTCCACTCCCTGTGGGGACAGCTCCCGAGAGGGGGAGTGGGATATATAGCTCTCATTTTCTGACGACGTCCTGTTTTTTAAAGTGTGGAGTTGAACCACTGTTACCAGGGGACCGATGATCTAATCTAATGGTTTTCTGTTTTAAAGGAGCTGCCTACATTTAATGCAGCTTTTAAAGACTCCATAGTGTTGCCCAACCGTTTGGTCAATGATGAGGGACTGCAGCTGCTGTGAACAGGTTTCACCTGCAGCAGTATTCAACATAGGCTGTATTAGGTTCCTTTGAACCTTGTGATTAGATTTTATCTTTAAGGTTCTTTCATTATGTGGCTTTTATCTTGCGGGACGGAACGAGTCCTCCAAAGCGAGAATCAAACCGTGATCAGAACTGGTCAAGCCAGCACGAGCATATAGGACGCTGGATTTTCAACATTGGAGAATCACAGCCGTTGGTAGGTCAGGACAAGTCCAAGTGTGGTTTATGAATGTGAGTGGTTCTCTGACATTCCTGAGTAGAATCCCCCACCATCTAGGACGGCACTGAAAGTTTGTTTACGCTGTCAGCGTGCTGTCGTCCTCATGTTTATTGCGTCTCCAGTTACTAACTTTGTATTTTCCACTTCCCAAAACTAGGTTTGTAATGAAAGTCAGAGAATTCTGTTAGGAACTCGCTGTAAGGACCAGGAGGTCGGTATACAACTATAACTTGTTACTGCTTTTTGTTTTTCTCCCACCCAGGAAGGGATTGAAAGTGTTAAGGTTTTCAACACGAGTCGTGAAATAAGCTGTTGTTGGTTTGGGCTAAGACCCAAGTTGGTGTGTGATATACTGCAACACCACCGCCCGCGTCCTTGTAGCTCTGGCTTTCTGGTAGTTAACATGCGTCGGCGGAGTGCCACTCATTCAATCTAAACGTACTGTCTGTTGGAGCCCAAGTTCCAGACGAGCCGCAAAACAGATCCCACATGGACCTTGTCTATAATAAGGTTCGTTTATGAGAAGCGATTTTAGACGAGAGTTGATCCGACGTTCATTAAACCCACATTTACCACCTCCCGCTTAGCAATATTTCTGTCTGTCTCTGAACTTTTATTAAGTTACTGTGTTGTCACCTAGGGTCCAGATTTCCTCGCATATAGTGCATTAGACTTCCAAGCGGGGGGAAACACACCACACCCAAGTTTCAATCTGACTAGGTTACTGAGGCTAGTAAACTGAGCACACCCAGGCACACCACACATGCACACATGTTTCAATCTGACTAGCTTCTGAGGCTAGTAATGAAACAGATGGGGCCTCAGAGGTTGTGGCAGAGCAGCTCTGCACCCGGGCCCTCTCGTTCTCGCATCGTCATTTGCGCCGGGCCAGACAGTTTCGAGCCAGGGCCCAACTCTCTTAGCACAAAAGGGATGTACCCGCCAAGTATGGGTGGATATCCTTCCCGAGCGGGATGAGACGGGCCTTTACCCACCATGATCCCCCCCCATTTGTCCATCATGAACAAACCCACTTCGAGTCGGCCACAGCAGACAGCCAGCGGTTGAAAGCCCGAGTGTCTGCCTGACATGCTTCTGCATGCTTCAGAGCAGGTAGGGCCCAGAGAAGATGACAGAGTCGGCCCATTGTGCTAGCCAGCTTGCCACCGGCGGCGACTTGCAGCTTCAACACTGGACTGTTTCCGCCGAACGGGTCAATACCACCGCTGTGAATACAATTCGACGGAAACGCTTGCTTGTGGGTCATCATGAGCCTCAGATTCCCCTTCAATATCACCACGCTGGGCCCCAGGAAGCACCGAACAGTGGCTCCTGGGATCTTAAACACCTCTAACAAATAGAGGGCGCCAGATTACCAGCACATCACGCGACTCCATCGGCTCTCTCAGCAGCTCTTCTCAGCCTAGCTCCTCTCGGTGCGGGCCTTCTTTCCCCGCCCGGCGCGCGGCGGGCGCAGCCGGGACAGAGCGTCCAGCGTGTAAACACTTGCTAACCGGAGGGGCCCCTAATGGAGGATCTACCCAACAACCACCTGTCGCTCTCCGAAACAGTCACAAAGCCATCACTATCCTGGGTCTTGTCCCAGCTGCGGAGGCCGGGCTGGGAGGGCTAGGCTCGCTAGCTAGTTCTCCTTCTGCCTCTTCCCTAAGGCTG